AGAGCATTGACTGTGGAATCTGAGGACTCGGTTCAAAGGCTGCTGCTTTATGCCGACTAACTGTATCAGCCTGGGCAAGTCACTTCCCTGTGTGGGCCTCAGTTTCCTCACCTGTGAAATGGGTCCGGGGTGGACCAATGGCCTCTGAGATCCATACTGGCTCTAGAGCTCAGATGGGATGATTCCATGACTGCTGTGGGTAACTTCCACTCACGCAGGCCCTCTGTGACTCAGTAGTAAGGCCAGATACCCCCGGGCTGCCCCAGACCCATGCCGGATGCTATTCAAGCTTCATACACTCTGCTGGCGGAAGAACTTAGTAGAACCTTGAGTCCAAATCTCATCTTTCCCACAAGCTGTGCAACTAGTGTCTCTGGGCCTCTGTTTGCTCATAGGTAGAAAGGGCCTAATAACCCTCTTTTGTCACCTACCTCCTAGGGCTGTTGGGAAGTCCCGGTGAGAGAACGCTTCAGAATGCCAACATCCAACCGCCACAACAATGGCGGCCAAAGTTGTCATTGGAGAATCAGAATGGCTTCCAAGCCAGTGGGGCTCTAGTAGAATAGAATAGGGGATAAATGGAAAATCTGGCACACTTCTGTTCAAAAAGTCAACCATTCAAGCAGGGTCAGGGCTGGTATGAGGCCTGGGAACACAAAGATTAAAAAAGGAAGCAATTCCTGCCTTTGAGGATTTTATATAATGTTGACTCTTCAGAGCTATGTGATCATGAGCAAGATACTTCCCCTCAGAACATCAGTTTCCACATCTGTAAAATGTAAATAACAACCTTTGCATTATATGCCATGCAGAATTGTCGTGAAGTCCATCTGGATCCTCTCTGCCCTATTTGCTGTATTCTAGATTCTGCTCTCCTCTCTGAACAGGCCCAGGCCTGCTTTTTTTCTGTCTCTTTCCAGGAGCTCTCTTTCATTTCTGTCCCCCTGCTCTGCATCTTCTCCAGTTCCCTTTGCTGAAGAACCCCCGAACTGGGCTACGTCATCCTCAGCACCACATCTTGGGTGAGAAGGCTCAAGGCCTTCTCTGTTTCAGACCAGGAAGAGTGCATTCATGCTCCTCCCCACAGCCCCTGGGCAGTGCTGGGCTGCTTGGCGGCAGTCAACTGCAACACTGCTGTCTTTGGACAACAGCCAACGACTCAATGCAGCCCTAAGACTGTTTCTTCAAGGGTTGGGGTGGTCCCTGAGTGCCCAGCCTTCCAAATCATCTCTGAAAATGGCACAAGCTGGCCTTGCCTCAGAAGGGCAGGGTCATTTGTCTGGCCATTTCACCCCCAGCCCTTTCCAATAATAGCCACTCACATTTCTATAGAGCTTCCATGTTGATAAGATGCCTTCCTCACAGCCACACTATGATGTATTTATTATTATTATTATCCTCATTTTCACATGAGAAAACTGGGACTCTGTGACATGGCCTCACTGGCCTCTGCTCCCATAGCTCAGATCTGAACCCCATCTCCTGACTTCAAGTCCCTTTCTTTCTACAGAATGTAGAAAGAATGTAAGGTCCCCGTGGGCAGGAACTGCTTAGTTGGAGTCTAGCCAGGCCAACACCTGGCTCAGTGCTGAGAATTTCTACCCTACTGCACCATCTTTGTTCATCCTAACATATTTCCAATGGAAAAGATTTTGTTTTGACTGTTTATTGTTCAGTTTATTACTGTTCACTTCATTAAAAATGGTTTTGTTGGATTATGTCATGTATATTACAACTTCCCAATAAAACAAGCTCATTAACACTTTTGTGAGTAGTTATGCTTTGAAGTCTAAACAAGACCCAAGCTACAACCACTTGTTTTAAAATATAAACTTTCTCCAATAAATGGACTCCTTCTTCAGCAAAGCTGTTCTTTCCAGGAAGAATAGTTAAACTTTATTGTGAGATGCTTGAAGCTAATCAGCTGAGTACCAAAGGAAAGTGGAGCTTTAAAGAAATGCAATCTGCAGCTTGCTTTCTCTTACTAACATCATGGCACATTCCATGACCATTTTGTGTTGCTGCCTGTAAAATCCTTGGAACAAGTAACTTGAATACAAAACTGAACTGTCTCTATCATCACTGCCACAATTCATTTCCTCATTAATTAAAAGATGTCATTGGAATTGAGCTACTGTGGCATGAAAATTAGTATCATCTTTGGATGAGTCTTTTGCTTTTATGACTGTTTTATGGCTGAAGTCTTTGAAAACAAGAACCAAGCCACGAACCTTCCTTTCCTCATTCCAATGGACCATTCTGAAGAATAAGGGAAAGGGAGAAGAGTCAACTTGAGAATAATCTGAGAGAAATTAGAGTTGCGTAGGACAGGATGATGTGATGGGGAGTGGGGTGTGTCATGATTTATAATACCTAGAAATGAAGTTCCTCTCTATAGTTATGAAATCATACTGGAGACTTAAAAAAATAAGAAACGCTGTCAACAATTTTTCCATGGTACAAATAGCTTTGCACTGATCCTAAGGGTCTAGGACGTTTGTACCAGGCTATACTATGGGATCTTAAAAGATGTTTGAGGGTAACTGTGACAAAAGTTCCCACCCATAGTTCCTTCAAGAACTGGGTTATTCATCGAGGGGGGATGACAAGACTTCCTCTTCAAGAGACAGTGGGACCTTTCCCCTGTTAAGCTATCTTTGCCCTGTGGGCTGGATCAGCTCACACCATTCCCAAAGACGGGGAAACCCGGCACACATCGGAAAATACCTAGTCCCTCTGAAGGCTGGATAGAGCTGAGCTGCGTCTGGGAAGCTACTTCTTCTTTCCTGGAGAAGGAGGCAAAGGACACACAAGGAAGTTGCCTGGGAACCAAGAGAAACAAGAGAAGTCTGTTTCTTCGAGATCCTGGAGAAAATGAAGCCCTGTCCCTTCTGGGGTTGGAGCCTTTGCCTTTCTTCTCTGGCTCCTGGACCTCTTAGGTGGACTGAGGGAGTTGAGAGCTGTAGCTAGTACTTTGTGCACCCACTACAGCGTGGCCTTGGAGTAGGCAACAGGACACGTGCCCTCAAGTCAACTTTATGACTCAGGATGTGCAAATAATACCGAAAGACATGAAAACAAATCCCTTGGGCATATACAACAAGGAGATCAGCGACCTGAAAAAAGGTCTTCATAGATACTAAAATATTCACGGCAGCACTTTTTGCTGGAACAAAGGATGTGCCTTTGCATTGGAGAAATTCTACAAGTTGGGGTGCCCAAGTGTCCTGGAATTCTACTCTGCTGTTAGGAATGATGAAGAATACAGAGAAGCAGGGAAGGACTTACATGAATAGATACAAAGTGAAGGGAGCAGGACCAGAGAAACAATGTATCCACAGCTGCAACAATGTCAATAAAAGGGACAGGCAGCGAACGATTCCAATTAAATTCTGCAAAACTGGAATGACCAGGGTCGGCTCAAGAAGAGAAATGAGAGGATGCCTCTGAAGTCAAGTCCACAAGCTTTTATTAAGCACCTCCTCTATACTAAGCACTTGATAGACCAAGAAAAGCCCCAAACAGCCCCTGCCCTCAAGAAGCTCCCTCTCTAATGGGGGGATTCAATATGCAGACAGCTATGTACCCAGAGAGGATCAATTGGAGATCGGATCGTTTCCCATTTCTTTGCAAAGATGGGAGACCATGAATGTGTGTATAGGGGTGTGTGTGTGTGTGTGTACACATCACTACACACACACACACACACACACACACACACATATATATATACATATATAAAACCCCAGATATTTCAATATACTGCTTAGTTTTGCAGAACCTTTTTTCCTTTCTTTATGATAAGGCATATCTCTCTGAGGAGTAAAGGAAGCGGTGAAATAGTAAATATAGAGAATGTAAAAATCAAAGATATAAATGAGAATTCATTGAGAGAGAGAGAGAGAGAGAGAGAGAGAGAGAGAGAGAGGAGAGACAGACAGAGAGACAGAGAGTTAGGAAGAAGAAGGAAAGGGAGAGGGAGGAAGAGAGGGAGAGGGAGAGGGAGAGAGTCTAGGAGGTTAGGGGATAGAATCTCAAGTCCAACACTGCAGGATTTAGGATTCCATGCTCTTGCCTCAGTGAGACTCCCTCTTTCACCCAATGTTCAGGAAAGAGTGTAACACTAAAGTTACTACTCACCTTTGGGAGAGGTGGAGGTCCCCACAAAGTGAAAGTGGGAGAGAGGCTGGCTGTCAGTGAAAGGAGGAAAGAAAGGGGAATCCCTGGGGACAGATGGGGCAGGGCGGGTTGGGAATTTCCTTTGGGACAAAGGGAGGGAGGGAGGTAACAAACAGACTAGAACTGCTCCAGAACCTGAACTTCCTGTTCCCATTCCACAGACAAGTCAGTTTCTGAGCTCCTTTCATACCTTTTACTCAGATCCTGGAATATGTGTGTTAAAATGTTGAACCCTCTACATTTTCCACCCTGAGGCAAAGCCCCAGCTACTCTTGGCCAGTTACAGCTCTTGATAATTTCTTCAATCTCTGAGAGTCTGTGATTCCCTGAGATACAGTGGAAATAGTGCTCCAGATTACACAAGTGCCTTCCTAGTATTATTATTATTTTCTTAATAAGGGGAAAGAGAATCTTCCTATTCAGAAGTAATACACCAAGGGAAGGTCACAAACTGCAATCCCAGACTCAGTAGCCCCTAAGGTTTCTAATCTAATCCATAACTAAAAATTGTAAAAAAAAAAAAGAAATCCTCTCAACGATCTTTCCATGGTACAAACAGCCTTGCCCTGATCCCAAGGGCCTAGGAAGTATGTAACAGGCTATACCTTAACAGACATTTGGGGGGAGGAGAACTCTTTGGGAAAAATTTCCAGGCCCAGCCTAGCCCATAACCCACTCTAAGCCAAGGGTTCCTGGCCAAGTTGTTTATTTTCCTCAAGGCTCTAAGCAAAACTTGATGTACTATGTCTCCCCTCCCCCCAACAAAGTCTATGGTCCACCACCCCACCTTAATGCTGCCTCTCTGTTCCGTTTTTCCTCAGGGTGTGTCTTGCAAGAGCAAAGTGAACAGTGAGTATCCAGATGGGGCAGTCTCCACCCAACTCCCCGGCCCAGCCTGCACTTGCCCCTTGGGAATCTGGGCAGTCTGCCTCCTGGAAGCCCTTCCTTTCTAGCTCCAGCTGCAGGACCACAGCCTGCAGTGTGGCCTAGTGCTCAGGGGCTGGTCCTGCAAGAGCCAGAGCCAATATCTATCCTGGACTTTGAAGGACGGACAGGGTTTCAGCAAGCAGAGATAGGGAGAGCAATGCTATTCGTAGAGCACTAGAATTGAGGGGATCTCAATGGTCCTCTGCTTTGGCTTTCTCCTTTAAGACACAAGGTATATGGGGCCCAAGTGGTTGGAAGGAGTGGGATTCTCTCTTGGTCCCTAAGCACTGTGGGAGCATAACGTTCCTTCCCCAGAGGAACTCTTTAACAAGGCTATAATTCTGGCAGGTCATGGACCCTGTCCCTCATATGCACCTGGTCTGTCTTGGCCAGCTTTGTCCTGCTTCCTCACTTTGCCTAAGGCCTAGATTTAAAGAGGCTTAGGTGTCTGGGTCCTGCTCACATCCTGAAGGAAAAGGTCCGAGGGCTTCTGGAAGGGAGCAGCAGATACAGGCCCCAGGGGAGGGTGTGACCAAAGGGAGAGGGAAGGAAGAGGCTTCAGCCTTTGGTGCTGAACCAGCACTGGACCCTCTTAGGAAGAAGCAGCTTCCTGAGTTTCAAAGGATCAGGTGGGAGACCCTGGTAGCTGAGGGGTAGAACAGGAAACACTTCACATAGGAGGGCACTTAGCTTTGAAGGAAACCCGAGATACGAAGAAATGAAACTGAGAAAGGACTGTGTTCTAGGCATGAGGAGAGCCTAGGCAGAGTTTTGGGGACAGGAATTGGGGCTTCACGTGAGGGACACTAGAAGGCTAGGAAGTGTTCATCAGGACAATGTCAAGAGAAACAAATGGTGTTTTCATCACTTTTGGTGACTCAATAAAAGTTGTCAGAGAGGAGGGGACAGGTGTGAGTCCATATTGCCAAGGTGGGTGCCTTCGTAACTGAAGGAATGGGAGAGTTGAGGGAGAGGAAAGACTCAAAGATAATCCAAGCTTCACGGAAAATGAGACAGGCACCAGCCAGTAAGCATTTATTAAGCAACTACCGTGTACCAGGCTAAGCACTGGGAAGAAAAAGAAAGGCAAAGACAGCCCTTCCTCCCCAGGAGCTCCCAGTCCCACGGGGTAGTATCATGCAAATAACCACATGCACACCAACTAGAGATGGGGTAAATTAGAAATTGTCTATAGAGGGAAGGTGCCAGAATTGAGGTGGTTTAGGAAAAGTTTCCTGGAGGAGGTGGGGTTTTAGCTGGGATCTGGAAGAAGTCAGGGAAGCCAGAGAGGATGATGAGGAGGGAGAGCCTTCCAGGCATGGGGACAGGCAGTGAAAATGCCTGGAGCCAAAAATGGAGCATCCCACGCTGCAAACCAAGGTTCCAGTGTCCCCCAAGAGGGAACTAAAACCCAGTGAGTGTGAGTTAAGTTCTGGCAAATGTCTACACTGTTTCCCTAAAGAGTTGGATTGTGGATATCGAAAAAGGGAACTGATATCTACTAGAAACTTGGCCAGCTTCCTTGAGAATAGGTCACAGCAGCCTAGCCTTGCCCCATTTCCTTTTTTTTTTTCCACTAAGGTTACGAGACTCAGAGTTCGGGGAATTCTGTTGACATAGTGTGGCTACATTGCAGCAAAGCCTGGGACAAAGAAACGTTTGCTCTCTTGGTGAAAAGATGGAGAGGTGTGGCCTGGGTCATAGTAGAGTTAGGAAGGGTAAGACTTGTCTGAATGGTCTGACCCAAAGAGTGGTCACTAATGGTTCAACCTTGGCTTGGAGGTAATGCTCTCATGGACTACACTTGTACTAGTTGACATTTCTTTCCATCAGTGACTTAGAGGAGAGGGTCCCAGCTTGGGCCTCAGACACCAGGGAGGGGTGGAGTAGTGCTATAGAACTACTGCAAAGGGTCCACATCCAGTCATGTGCTTTCTCATCCACTGGATTCTAATAGTGCCATCCTAATAGTAGGAAACTTCACCCTAACCCTACTATCGTGTGGGGTCCTCAAAGCTTTTCCAGGTCTTCAAACTTGAAAACATCGGGAATCACTAACTCAGAGAAAGGCAAGGATGATGTACCTATCAAATTTGTGGGAAAGAAATTCTGTTTTTTCTTTGTGTCCCCAGCACACATTAGGCACTTCAAAAGTGCCTGTTGGAGGAGTGAAGACACAAAACAAACTCTTTGGGCAACAGAGTCAGGACCCAACACATCTCCCTAGCCTACATGGCACAGTGGCTAGAGTGTAAGGCTTGTGGTAGAGTTCAAATCATACCTCTCAGGGTTGTTGTGAAGATGAAATGAGAGGATAATTGGAAAGTGCTTAGCACAGTGCCTGGCACATAGGAAGTACAATGTAAAGGGTAATTCTTCTTCTTTATTATTGTATCAATGGGACAAATGGCCCATGATGAAATTGAAAGAGTACAAATGAAAAGCACTACATTTGAGTTTTAAAAAAAAATTCATTGCATGAGTCCAAGATGGCCACCCAACACAATGGTCACCCAACAGTTTATGGGTAAGGGGTCTGTCTGGAGGCTCTAATAGGTCCCAAGCTAAGAATGAGGAAGCCAAACAAAATGGCACTCTAAAGTTATGTGATCTTGGTGTTCATATACAACACTGTTTGAAGGAGGGGCCTGGTCAGACTTTATCAGGTCTGGGACCCACGGGGAAGGCTTGAAAACTGGAGCCTGGCCCCAAGTGGGGAACTATCTCTTTTGAGAGCTGACTCAAAATACAGGGAGTGTTTACTCTGGGGAAGACGAGACTCAGAGGGACATGATGGCTTTCTCTGAGTACTCCAAAAAGGAAAAGGGTTTTGACTGTTAGTGAGGAAAACAAGCAGAGGCAGATTTCAGCTCAATTGTTACAAAAATGCTCCAACAATTAGAATTATACAACAGGGGAAGTGGCTGCTTTGGGAGATCCTAGGAGCAGATGCAGGGCAGGAAGGGACCTTAGAGGCCTCATTCCCTTCATTTTACAGTGGAGGAAACTGAGGCCTGGGGAAATGAAGTGATTTGCCCAAGGTTACACAAGTAGTGTTTGGCAGGGCCAGAATTTGAACCCAGGTCCAAAGTCTGCACTTTTCCAGCTAGACCATGACCTTTGAGGTCCAACTCTGAGATTCAGTGAATGTAAGAGACTGAGTGGATTGTTGCCCTGTAGACAGAAACAGTGAAGCTAGAAAGAGGAGCAGGTTGGGGGTGGGGAGAAAGGAAAATAAGCTTTGTTCTAGACATGTGAAATTTGAGGTGCTAGTTAGACACCCAGGTAGAGATGTCTTATAGGCAGCTGGAGACATGGGCCGAGAGTTTGGGGTGAGGTTGATGGTATTGATTTGGGAATGCTGAATAAGGTCATGAATGTAGAAAGGAAAGAGGGCTGAGGCCTGGGCCAGGGACTGAACTGAAGGGTGGGCTGAGGGGTCGCCTGGGGACGGGGCTGAGGCTTGGGCTGAGAATCGTCCTGAGCACTGAGCTGGTGTCTTCATCCTTGGAAGGAGACAGAAGAGTGACCGACAAAGTGAATCAGTCAACGAGTCTTTATTAAATGCTTAATATGTGCCAGGCAATGTGCTCAGTGCTGGGGATATAAAGAAAAGTGAAAAAAGTTCTTGCCCTCAAGGAGTTTACATTCTAAATCAGGAAACTACATGTAAATAGAGAGTTCTATTTAAGTTATATACTGAGCAGATGGATAGTAACTTTAAGGAGGAAAGCACTTCCTGTCCAAAACAGGACCTTGTGTCCAATGACTTACCTTTCACCCTCATCTCATCCTTGGCCTTCCTTAGTGGATCACTGGCAATGGATGGGGCCATTGTAGGCACCTCCAAGGAGCCTTCCACCTCCTGTCCTTTGACCTGAGCCTACTCTAGCTTCTTGGCCCAGTGAAGGCTTCAGCCATTGCCGTGGACTGGAGAGGGGCTCCTGCCATAGACCAAGTGAGAAGAGACAGTGGCCATCAGAGTAGAAAGTGGGTCAGGGCCACAAGGTAGATCAGAGATACGCCTGAGAAGAATTGGCAGCTGATTCACAGTTATTGTGGTCCTCCCCAGCTGGAAGTGAGATGATTCCATTGGGCTCCTCACTCAGTGAAAAGAAAGATTCTCTGCCACATGCAGATTTCTCCAAAGTTACGTGACACTAACCATGTGCGTCAGACCTATCTGTAAACTGAGCCAAGAGGCCCTGAATGAGGGCCTGAGGGGGTCTCCTGTGAGGACTGTGAGGGGAGTCTTTGTCATCTTTGTTCCTCAGAGGGCTTGTGTCCCCGATGGGAGAATTCGCCACATCACCACCAGCTGCCATACGTCCTCACTGAGCACAGGAGGAAAGGAGTTTTTCTTAGAACAATAAGACAGATTTGGGCTAAACTGCAAAGCCTAACAAAAAACCACAAGCAACCAATCGAGGTTACTGTTCCAGAGTAAGAGAATGAAGAACAAACATTAGCTGTAGAAAACAAATCCTTAAAAAGTAGAATTGGCCAAATGGAAAAGGCGGCACCAAATCTAATAGAAGAAAACAACTCATTAAAAATTGGAAGGAGGCAAGTGCAAGCAGAGTAATAGAATGTCAACTCTAGCAAGGACCTTAGAGATCATCTCATTCAACCTCTTCATTTTACAGAGAGGGAAACTGAGGCCCAGCACAGAGAAAAGATTTAGGAGCATAACTGGGACTTAAACCCAGGTCTCCTCTTGGGTGCTCCCCATTCTCTCGACCTTCAGATCTGTCTAGAAGGGTCTGTATCCCGCCCCGCCTGGTTATGGTTGCTGTCCTTGGGTTGTCATCAAGGGTGGATAAAACCTTCTGTCTGGCCCCGAGTCCCAGGTAGCCGTGAGTGACCCTGCCTATGTGACCAGTTTCACTGGTTGGCTTTTCTCTTTTTGACCCAATTGTTTTGATCTCTTCCTACTCAGAGATCTGGGGCTGCTTTTCCAGCTAGTGGGTGGAGTCGTCACCCTCCCTTGACCCTCACCAGCTGTGAGCATTGAGTGCTCCCTGGAAGCCTCCAGGGACAGGCAGAGTAAGGGATTAGCTGCTCCTTCTCTTCCACAGGGAATATTTTTAACAGTTTCTGCCGGCAGCCACTGCCATCGGTGACGCCATCCGTCCTGGAGTCCCTGACACTGTCCACAACCACGAAGTGTGTCCACAGAGGGGCTTGTGCTCTGCATCTCAGCGTCAGTGCTAGCCTTATCATGGAAGGTAAGAACCAGCAGAGTTAGTCAGGTCTTCAGCGTCCCCCAGCCTCAGCGGTAAGACAGTCTCAGGCTCAGGGACAATTTGGTTGGGCTGGCCCAAAATCCACTTTTTTTGGGGGGGGGGCAATTGGGGTTAAGTGACTTGCCCAGGGTCACACATCTAGTAAGCCAAAATCTACTTCTGCCCATTGTGTGATCTGTGACCTTCTGGCCAAGATGGGTTTGGAGGTCAATGGATCCCTAGATGGGAACTCTGAGCTTGTTTTCTATCTGGGCTTTGGTTTTTCTTTTTCTTTTTTTGTTTTAATTATTTTTTGTAAATAGTATTTTATTTTTTTCCAATTACATGTAAATATAGTTTTCAATATTCATTTTTATAAAATTTTGAGTTCCAAATTTTTTTCCCTCCCTCCCTTCCCTCTCTTCTCCCCAAGACACCAAGCAATGTGATGTAAGTTATACATGTGCAATCATGGAAACCTATTTCCACATTAGTCATGTTGTGGAAAAAGAAACAGAACAAAAGGGAAAAACCACAAAAAACAAAAAAAAGGTGAAAAGAGCATGCTTCGATCTGCACTCAGACTCCATAGTTCTTTCTCTGGATGTGGACAGCATTTTCCATCACGAGGCCTTTGGAGATGTCTTAGACCCTTGCATTGCTGAGAAGAGCCAAGTCTATCTTAGCTGACCATTGCACGATGTTGCCTTTACCGTGTACAATGTTCTCCTGGTTCTTGGGCTTTGGCTTTTCAACCTGTGCTGTTAGGGCTCCTCTGAGTCCCAAGTGAAAGCTCCCTCCCTCTTCTTTCCCTTCTCCCCAGCCCCCTGGATGGTCTCAGGACCTTCTCCATGTTCTCCCTCCAATACAGTCTTCCAGTCAATCACATCCACAGGCTGAGAATTATCTTCTCTTGACCCATAGTTGGGGTTCAAGGGAGCCTGAAGGCCATGGTGGCAGGGAGGTGGATTCTGACTCCATGTACCCCCTGCCACGGACACCAGGAACCACAAGTGGCACCCTGCTCACTTCTTCTTGGTCCTAGAAAGCCTTCGAGGCCTGGAGATCTGCCTGCTGTCCCTGGACACACAAGAGACAAGGTGTCACAGCGCCAGGATCCCCAAGGTCTCCAGCCAGAAGATGGTGGGCAGAACGGTGAGCTGGAGGGTGGGGCCTGCCTGAGGAGGGGGAGAACAAAGGGAGAGAGATGGGCAAAGTTAGGGGCAGGAGCTCCCCAGGGCAGCTGGGCCTCTCACTGCACTCCATCCATGGTGGCCCATTCCACCCTCGTGCCTAGAAATTCCCCACACCCAGAACGCCTTCTCCCCTTTCTTTCTCACCCACATGTTAAGATGCTGTTGTCATACTGTTGCCCTGAGATCCCAGGCTCTGGGTCTCCCTGGGTCTTCTCATAGCCCTTTCTCCACCCAGTCTCTTCAGGAAACAGAAACCAAGAATCAAGTCACAGCAAGAAGCATGTATTAAGTACCTACTGTGTACTAGGCACTGTGCCAGCTGATATAAAAATTAAAAAAAAAAAAAACCAGTCCTAGTCCTCAGAGATTTCCCTTCCACTGGGGAGAAGTAACAAAGGAAACACCGATTATAGAAATGTGTGACGACCTCATATTCCTTCCAGCTCTCAATCCGTGACCCTGGCTCCAGAGGAATGGCCATGGGGCGGAGGCTAGAGTCTGAGGGCAGCAGAGGAGGCTTCTGATAGGTGGAAGCACTCGAGCTGAACTTTGAAGGGAGCTGGGCAATCAATGAGGGTCCGCTGGATGGGGAGCTCCTGAGGACAGGACCCATTTCCTCGGCCCAGTGCTGAGCACAGGGGGACTCCAGAGTGAGGCAGCGTCCAGCTCCCCCGGCTATCCTTTCTCCCCTTCCCACATGGGCTGAGTAGGAAGCTAGGGGTGTCCTTGTAGGGAGGCCCCTGGTGACATTGCCAACATCTGGCCCCAGCTCCAGGTCCACTTTGACTGTTTTGAGGTGAGCGTGGCTCAGCACCTCTACGTCACCCTGAAGACCATCCCCTATTACTGTGAGGTCCAGATCAGCCGTGAGTACCGAGTGGAAGGTAAGGCTCTGCTGGGTGCTCTGAACAGGAGAGGGACCCCACTGGAAGCAGGGCTTTGCTGAAATGGAATGATGGTGTCCTTTAAAAGTCTTGTTTCAGTCAATCCATCAACGAGCGTTTATTAAGTGCCTACTGTGTGCCAGGCACTCGGAATATGAAAATGAAACAGTACCTGCCCTCAGTGAGCTTGCATTCTCTTGGGAGAGACTGTGTGTACAAATCAAAAGAAATACAAAATGGATGCAAGGTATTAAGGAGAGGGGAAAGTAGCAGTCGGGAAGAGCAGGAACATATGTAGAAGGCTGTCCTTGGGCTGAGCCCTAAAGGAAATGAGGACTTCTTGGAGGCAGAGAAGAGGAGGGACAGCATGTCAGGCACGAGGCACAGCCATAGCAAAGGCATGGAGATGGAACATCTTGTATGAGGCACAGTAAGAAGGGGGGGGTCGGTTGGACTAGTTTGTGAAGGGAAATAATCTGTAATGAGATTTTGAAAGTTGGCCCTTTGTTCAAGTACGGTGTTGATTCTGTCATAGGACCTGATCCAATCTTCAATTGAATCATGAGAATCAGTAGGAAAGCATGTTTTGATTAAACAGACATTCACTTGACATCTCTCTCCAAGAATGCTTCTGGGAGCCCCCCACCCTTCCACAGGTCTGGGAATTGTCCCCCAGGCTGCCATCGGTTTTAAGGGAGGAGTTCTTAATCAGGGGCCTTTTGTAAAAAAATTGACAACTATTTTAAGGACAACTGGTTTCTGTTGTAATCCCATGTGCTAAAAACCACAGTTCTGAGAAGGGGTCTGTAGGCTTCACCAGACTGCTTACGGGGGCTGGGGCACAGAAAAAGGTCAAGAGCCCTTACCTTACAGAGAAGGGCATCCGCTTTCCTTAGCCAGCATAGAAATCAGAGCAAGGTAGTTATCAGGAGGGGGAAAGGGGGAGTGTTGGGCTCCTGATGAAATCTTCAGGTGGTGCCCCCTACCACACACACACTCACACACACACACACACACAATTCATACACATACACTCACATACACACACAATTCATACATACACACACATAATTCATACATACACACACACAATTCATACACATACACTCACATACACACACAATTCATACACATACACTCACATACACACAATTCATACACACACACACAATTCATACACACACACACACACACACACACACACACACACACACACACTCCTAACCTCACCAGCTTCCAGACAATCAGGGATCGCTCTGTTTGGAGCACTGATGTCCTTCCTTGAGAAGGACTGTGATAGGCTGGGGAGCACAGAGACCACGCTACAGCAGGGCTGCTTAGCCTGGGAAAGAGAAGACGCAGAGGAGTTGTCATCGAGCAGGTGGTGGCTGGCTCTGCTTGGCCCTAGTGGACAGCAGCAGTGGATGGAGACCATACACACCGAAGCAGGTTTCACCTTGGTAGAAGGGACGCTTCCTACCGATCAGAGCTATCCCAGAGAGGAAAGGGCTGCCTCCAGAGACATTGGGGTGGGTGGTCTCAGAGGACCGGTCAGCCCTGTGGAGGCACCGCCTTGGTCTGGTCTCAGTCACGAGTCAGGGTCAGGGGTCATTCTGAGGCTTGGCTGAGTCAAGGCTCAGTCTGGGTCCGGGGTCATAAGTTAGGGGTCAGGCCATAAGCAGGACAGAGGTGTCAGGATATGGGTCTGATGGGATTCTGCCTCTCTTGGTACTGACCTGCCGCCATCCCTGATGAAGTGGATGGTGCTCAGGTCCTTGGTCAGACTGAGAACCCCCATGTGTATTTTGCAGACTGTACAGATGCTGATGTGGGAAGAAACATCCCAGCCTGCTTTGGTGAGTGATGTGGGTTGCTACGGTCCCAACTCTGCACTCCCTTTACCCACTTGTGTGCAGTATTGCTATCACTATGTAGCATAGCCTCTGGGTACACCCTGCAGGGTCCCCTCTCCCCATCTAGCAGCTCTTGGGGGCTTCTACATCTCTAGTTTCCAGGGCTGTGGTAGAAATATCACCAGGTCTCTTGTCAGAGGGCCTGAATTCAAATCATGACTCTTTCACTGACTCCTTGTGTAACCTTGGGAAGTCACAACCCTCCTGACCTCAGTTTCCTCCCCTGTACAATAAGGGCATTCAATTGGATAATCTCTCCAGTTCTAAGTCCTAGGATTTAGAGCTGACTCCCACCCCTTGTTCAGGAAAGGACAAACTTTGCTCCATGCCATTGGGTGATTGAAAACGTGGCTCCCTCCCTACTGCCACAGGAGAGCATATGGCAGTTTCACTGCTCCCCCTCACAGTCCATTCCCAAGACCCCTTCTTGGAAGGGCTCTTGGAAGAGGGGGAGGGGGGAACAGGGGGTGAGATTACCCTAGAGAGACAAGGATAAACCGAGGTTCACAGAGGGGAAGCGTCTTGTCTACGTCAAGCTGTGAATTGGGCCAGGGTGGATCCCTTTCAGGATCCCGGGATGAGGCTCACTCCCTGGCCCAGCAGGAGCATAGCAAGGACCCCCCTCTTTGAAAAGAGCGGCCCTCCATCCTTCCCCTCTGTCCCTACCAGCCGGGAGGCTCAACTATAATGTTGACCATGCCCAGAAGGCCATCAAGGTGCATTTTGCAGACATCCCTAGGAGTCAGGCCTACTACGTCCGGCTATGTCTCAAGTGGTTTGCTTGTGAAGACTACAGTCCCCCAGTACTGGTGAGTCCAGACCACATTCGGGGCTGCAAGGCAGAGGGGGGAGGTTCTCAGCTTAGGCAACAGAGACCCCAGTGCAGAGGAGAGCTCTTAGCCCGGGCATTGGGGATGCTAGGGCAGAAGAGGGACCTTAGCTCCCCTTAGCTGGCCCAGAGCACACAAGAAAGGGGGTCCCAGAAGACTCACAGGAGGTGCTCAGCACACATACATATGGGAGATGGTTGCCACACATGCAGTCGGCTCAGCACATAAGATGGTGCTTGGCACACCCAAGGGAGACAGGGGCTGGGGGCACTCAGCACCTCCACCTCAGGCACTGAGCACAGTGTTTTGGAATGAGTGGATTTCAGCCTGACCCCTTGGAACAGGTGAATGCAGAGCAGCCTGGGAAGGCAGTGTCCCTGAAGTATTCACAACTCCTGCCGTGTCTGTGTATCGAGGTCAGTGCACCCTCCATCCCCTCCCCTACCCCACCTGGACCCCAGAATGGGCTCCCTGGGAAACCCTGGGCAGCTTCTTCACTTGCAAAATGAAAGCATCGGATTAAATGACCCTAACAGTCTTTGCCAGATCTAACATTCTATAACTGTTTGATCTACCCTGAACACATCCTCCCCTTTCACATGACTCCTCCCGGGGGCCTCCAGCATCCTTGAGCTGAGTTCACTGCAGTCTCTAGGAGCCCCCCAGAGCCTGGATCAATGGTCTGGAGCCATTTGGAATGACACACAGCCCCACCCCCATCAGGATGCCCCCCAGGGCTATACTAGCCAGTTGGCCACTGTCCCTCACGGGAAATGTGCCACCTCATCGGATAGCCTGTCCCAAGGTTTCACCATCCTCAGGGGCATGGAAATCCTCCCTTGCACCTCAGCTGAATCACTCCAGCAGGAGGCATTTAGGCAGATTCCCTCTGGTTCCATCCTGGAGAAGCTCAGAAGGATTCAGGACCATGAGCCTCAACGCGCCTCACTGAAACTCACAAATCATTGGCATTTCTCTATATGACTGAGAAATCCCAGCAGCGAGGGATAGCAAGAGCGAGAGAACTTCTATTTAAAATTACTGGAGACACTATAAAATATTTGGGAGTCTACCTGCCAAAACAAAACCGGGAACTCTATGAACACAATTACAAAACACTTCACACAAATGAAGTCAGATCTAAATGATCGGAAAAATATCAGTTGCTCATGGGTAGGCTGAGCTAATATAATAAAAATGACAATTCTGCCCAAGCTAATTGACTCATTCGGTGCCATACCGATCAAACTACAAAAAAAAAAAAATATTTTATAGAGCTAGAAAAAAATGATAACATGATTCATTCGGAAGAACAAAAGGTCCAGAATATCAAGAGAACTAATGGAAAGAAATTCTAGGGGAGGTGGCCTAGCCATTCCACATCTTAAATTGTATTGTAAAGCAGCAGTCATCAAAACTGCTTGGTACTGGCTAAGAAAGAGAGCGGTGGATCAGTGGAATAGGTTAGGTATGCAAGACACAGTAGTCAATGACTAGAATAATCTGCTATTTGATAAACCCAAAGACTCCAGCTTCTGGGACAAGAACTTACTATTTAACAAAAACTGTTGGGAAAACTGGAAAAATGTATGGCAGAAACTGGCGATAGACCAACATCTTACAGCCTATACCAAGATAAAGTCAAAATGGGTACATGATTCAGATATAAAGACTGAGGCTACAAACAAAGTGCCTTGATGATTTTTGGTTGCTCAGGGTTCACCGAGTCCGGTAGCAGCCCTTTCCATATTCCAAAGTGCAGTATCCCTTTGATTCTCACAAAGTAGGGCATGCAAGTGTTAGCACCATTTTGTAGATGAAGAAACTGAGGCCTGGAGAGGGCAGTAACTTACCCAGGGTCATCCAGGTAAAACTTGCACTCAGGTCTCCCCATTCCAAATGCAGTTTCCCCTCTATCCTGCCTTCTCCTGGGCCTGCAGTGAGGATGGACTAGGTTTCTCTGGGCACTCCTCTCTTGTTCCATCAGTCCATACTTGCAGGAAACATGGTGGGAGGTGCCCTGAAGCTGTGCTGACGATGCTTTCTCTGGCAGGGCTGGGCTGCTGTCCCTGATGCAGTGAGAATCCAGATTTGTCCCTTTGAAAATGGCAAGTAAGCAGCAGCCCTCGGCAGAGTGGCCCATTCTCTCCCCCCGCCGCTCCTTTCCTTCTCCCTCCTCCTGAGAGAGGCCTCCCCCAGCCCTGGGCTTCCTGGGTCCCTGGGCTCAGGATGAACCAGGGGCCAGGCTCCATGTAGAACCAAGATGGATTTCTCTGTGGTCATGGAACTGGGCTGGGTCGCCCAGGCCACCTGGAGAGGGGACCCCGGGACTGAGGCTTCATTAGTCCCACCCTCTGTCTGCCCAATGGGGTGGGACTGGCTGGATGCTGGGTTGGCTTTGGTATTAAAGGCTGCCCAGGGGAGGGGGATCCTTAGCAGGGCTTGGAAGGGGAGGGAGGGACAAGGGAGGAGCTGTTCCCTTTCTCACCCCTCTATGTGTATGTCTCTGTGTGTACAGACACCAGAATTCTGTGGGATTACATCTTCTACAACCCCTTCGCCCAGTCCCTGAGCTGGGAACCCCCCTGCCCTGTCCAGGGCCAGGTCCACCTGTGTGGGATGTCAAAGACGGACGATCTGTGCTGGGAGCTGAGCCACACAGGACGGACAGCGCCAGGCAACGTGAGTGCAGGGAGCCTTCAGACTGTGAAAGGCCTAGAGACTGCTGCTCCCAGTCACTCACTTGGGGGTCAGAGTGCAGCTGACCTGGGATTGAGCACTGTCTTGGGAGACTCCACACGATGATGACTGATGAAGCAAGGAGAATGTCTTAATTTCTTCCTATGTGCCAGATGCTAGGCTGGGCGTTGAGGATGCCAAGGCAAAAAGAAATAGCCCCTCCTTCAAGAGGCCAGTCATGGACCCATGGGAGAAGACATGTAGGGACATATGATATATATAGATAGATAGATAGATAGATAGATAGATAGATAGATAGATAGATAGATAGATAGATATATACATATGCATGTATATATGTGTTTTTATATGCATATAACCTGAGCCCCAAAGCTCATTGGCATGGAATTCTGTCAACACTGGTGGAAATCAATGGCCTGGACCTGTGTAAGGTCTGGGTAGGGGGTGGGGGGTAAAGGCGAGCTGGAGAAGACAAGAGAGAAAGATAGATAGATAGACAGATGAGCAGATAGACAAGTAGACAGATAAGTAGATGAGTAAATAGACAAGTAGATAGATAGATAGACATATGTAGATATGTAGATAGACAGACAGATAGATAGATGAGTAGAAAGAAGGCTGGCAAAGGTCAGTTCTTCTGGCCAATGGCCTGACCAACCACAGCTCCAGAGGATCAGTGGGGAAGCATGCCATCTGGTGGGGTGGCCGTTCCTGATCTGGCCAGAGCCCCAGGGCTCAAACATACAGTCCTTTCACTAAAATCTTGTTCCAGCATTCTCAGACAGAAGTAGTTCTCAAGAGGGTTTCCAAGCAGGCCAGAATATCAACAAATAAAGCTTCCAGCCAGCAGGGGGGCTCCTGGGGTCTCAGGAGCTCCTCCTCCCCATGCACAGGGCCAGCTCACAGCCCAGGCCAGGGTCCCAGGAAGATCGGCCCCGGCTCTGGACCTCACTGACCTTCCTTGCTCCTGTCCCAGCCATTTTGCCTGTGTTGGGGCTTAACTCACACCTCCCCAGGACCCCCAGTTTCCTGCCCCACAACACTCTTCTATCCCTGAGCAAGAGGCAATGAACTCAAGATGCAGAATGAGTCACATTTTTGAACAAGGCCAATGGGGGGATTTTTTTTGCTTGACTTTACATGTCTGTTCCCAAGATTTTGTTTTTCTTTTTCAGTGTGAGGGGTGGGGGAGGGGATAGGAGGGAGAGAAAATAAATGCTTGTTAACTGAAAAAAAAATTAAAACAAGCAATGCCAGTTCCCTGATAGTCATCAAATGTCTCCTCTTTCTTGCAGGTGCATTACTTGCAGGTGGACCCCCAGCCATGGCTTTGCATGAAGGTGAGTCAGTGGCCAACCCCTTGTGACAGCCCACGTATGTGAATTGGGGGGGAGCAAGGGTAAGGGCATGTACTTGCTCATGTGACCTGAACCTTCCAGTTCTTTAGCAAATCTCCCTTCCCCAATAAGGGTCACACCTTAGGAGGGGCAAAGGACAAAGGAGAAAGGCTGTGAGACAGAGTCTCCATATGGCTTAGGACAGAACTGGAGAAGGCAGAAGCTCTGCTCAAGTCCGTGGCCATCGGCACATGTCCAAGATGACTCAGGGCTCTAAGGCCGGTGTTCAGCCTCTTGTTTCTGACAAATATGATGTGATGATGACGATGATGAATTCCCCATGGCTTATCTAGGATCCTGAAGCCAGTCGGTGGAAGAACCAGGATTTGATCTTAGGGCTTCAGAGTCCAAGATCAGGGCTCGATTTACTGTACCACACTGCCTCCTAAACAGATTTTAGTAAATAGCTGAATATCACATCTTTGATTAGAGGGAGAAGAATCTTTGGGCTTCTCTGTGAGGGGACCTAGATCACTCGTTTCTGTCTGAGAAAAACAGACAGTGGAGAAGGACGTGGCAAGTAGGTTTGCCAAGAAAACCTCAAACGGGGCCATAAAAAGTAGGACACGACTGAAATGACTGAACAACAACAGATGATCTGGGAGAAGTGGCCAGCACATTGGACAGCAGAAGTCAGATCCAAGAAACATTTCAAAGGCTGGACCAAGGGGCCAAATGGAGCAGAATGACGATTTTTAGACCCAACGTGCAATGCCATTGGCACAATCCAGAACACTCAGTAAGGAAGCTCTCCAACCATACAGACTAACACCTGCTCTGCAGTTGAGCTGCCTGGGGTCCTAAAGGTTAAGTGATTTATCCAAGGTCATCCAAGTATGTGTCTGAAGCAGGACCTGAACTCAGGTCTTTCTGATTCTGAGGCTGGCTCTCTATCTACTGTGTAGTGCTGCCTCATGAGATGAAACTTAATTGGGATGATTGTAAAGTCCTATCACTGGATTTTTAAAAATCTGCCTCAGAAATACAGTTGGAGTGTTGGTAGGTTGGCAGTTCACCTGCAAGCTTGCTATAGGCCAATAGCATGGTATGGCATCATGGTCTGGCAAGGCGCCATCTTGGACTGCATTAAAAGAGGAACAGTGGCTGCCATCTCTGGTCTTGTCCAACCACGCAGGGTGGGGGGCAGATGCACAATTCCTGGTTCTAGACACCACAGTTTTTGGAAAATATTGGTTACTCAGAAAGATTCCAGAGAAGAACTGCTAGTGAGGTGAAGGGTCTTGAGATCACTGCTTCTCTGGAATCCTTATCAAACCTCATCTGGTTTGGCTGAAGGACCCGGGGATGGTGAACAAGGCGAAGGGAAGACTGACCACTTGGAGAGCTTTCTCCAAGGGCAGCTGCATAGATAAGGGATTTGATTTCTTCTGCTTGGTCTCAGAGACCAGAACCAGGAACCATGGCTGGAAGTTACCTAGACTAATGAGAGGACACTTGCCAACAGTGAGAGGCAGGCTGGGCTGCCTCAGAAGTGGGGAGTTGCCTCCACCCCCAGGACGTCTTTAAGCAGAGGCTGACTGACCATTTGTAGGGAAGTCCTCAGGAGGATTCTTGTTCCAGTCTGGGTTGGACTCATGGCTGAAGAGATTCAGAGAAGAGATTCAGGTTCTGAAGAATCTCTTTGTACAGACACAGGCATATGGGACAGAGGTAACAGGCCATGTGTGCCTTGCTAAAGCTACCAAAGATGCTGGGACGTTGGGAGGAGGGGACCATGGCAGCCCTTCGGAGGCAGCTTGCCCAGGGCCCACTCTCCTGAATGGACAAGGCCTCCAGTGGCCTAACCTGTCCAGGTAGGCCTTGAACACCTTATCCTGGTGACCAGGTTTTGATCTGGCCTTGGTGTCTTGACCAGGGCAAGTTACCACACCAGAAGGGCTATGAACGTTTCAGGCAGAAGCTTGAGTGAGGAGTGGGTTCTGAAAGTGCTCTACTCCCCCTGCCCTTAGTCTGGGAACCTCATTCTCTATACTCCTGTATGGCAGCTGAAGGGCCTTCCTAGACTCCTACCTCAATAGGTTACTTGTTATCGTTCAGTCATTTTTTCAGTCATATCCAACTCTCCATGACCCCATATGGGGTTTTCTTGGCAAAGATACTGGAGTGATTTGCCATTTCCTTCTCCAGCTCATTTTACAAACGAAAAACTGAGGCAAACAGGATTAGGTGACTTGCCCAGGGTCACACAGCTAGGAAGCGTCCCAGATTATAGCTTGCTAAATTGATAAGGACACAGAAATATCAGAAAGCACAGAGCAGAGCCCAAATCCCTGGGGCACTCCATTGGACATCTTCCCCAAAGATCTTGAACCACACTGAATGATTACTCTTTGGGTCTGATTATTCAGCTAATTCTGAATCCAGCCGGCTGCATTGCCATTCTACTCTCTAGCTTTCTATCATCTTGATAAAATCATAAGAGTTGTCAAATGATTTGCCAAAGTGCAGGTGAACTCTCTCTACAGCATCCCAGTGGCGGTCTAGTGTCTAGTCTAGTGACGGTCACCAAAAGAAATTGACAAAACCAGGCTGGCCCTTGTGATCACTGCTACCCTTCCAGATGTTTCCTCTTCAACCCATCAATCAATCAATTAACAATCAACAGTTATCACGCACCCATGATGCACCAGGCATTGTGCTAAGTGCACAAGAGATATAAAAAGAGGCAAAAGACAGTCCCTGCCCTCAATGAGCTTCCAATCTAATGAGGGAGATAAGAAACAAAGTGAATAAGCTATCTACAGGATGAATAGAAAATAACTAAGAGAAGGAAGGCAATAGAATTGAGAGGGGCTGGGAAAGGCTTCCTGGAGAAGGTGAGGTTTCATTTGGGACTTGAAGGAAGCCAGGGAAGTGAGAAGCCAGAGAGGAGGAGGGAGATTAGGGAGGGAGAAAAGAGATGAGGAGGGAGAGCGTTCCAAGCCTAGGGGATCACTAGAGAAAGTGCCTGCAGCTGGGGGTGGGGGGTGGGCGTTGTCCACAGTGCGGCCAGCGGGCCCAGCCCCAGCCTCCACCCTGACCTTTCAGATTCAGATCAGTTACCTGCCAGGCATCTCGACACGGATGCCCTGTGGGCATCTCAGACTCAGGGTGTCCAAAATAGAACTCACTATATTTTCACCCAAAACCTCCCTCTTCCCGATTTCTCTATGTTTGTTAACACTCCGGCTATTGTCTGTCGGTTGTCCAGATTCGTGCCTGTGGCATCGGCCTCTGCTCCTTCCTCTTCCCTCATGGCCTAATCTTTCCGCTAGGACGGCTCACATCTGACTCCTCCACTGGCGCAGTCACCGTCCACCTCAGGCCAGGCCCTTTTACCCCTGGCCCATATCATTGCAGCAGCCTTCTCATTGATTTTCTCCCCACCCAAGTTCATCCTTCGCGCTGCCAAAGTGATTTTTCTTCTGTCACTCTGACTATGTGAATTCCCTCCTCAACAACCTTCAGTAGCTCTCTCTTGCCTGTAGGATAAAGCGCAAACTCTTCTCGTTACTGTCCCCTCCTTCACTCTGGGATCCAGCCTCACATGCCTTCTCCTGCCTTCACGCCTTTGCCCTGGCAGTCTCCCATGCCTGTAACGCCATCCCTCCCCTCTTCCGCCTCCCATTCCCCCTTTCTTCCACTCTCTTCCTTGTCTTTCCCGAGCCAGCCCCACCCCACCCCCAACCGCTACTTTGTACTTGGTGACTCTTTCAAACTACCTTCTGTGTATTTTGTATCCACCTTTAAGTCTTTGCTTTCTCCCCTACAGCAATGAGAGTTCTGTCCTTGTAACCCCAGTACCTGGCATACAGAGAGTGCATAATACTTGCTGATTGATTACAGAATTGTGCCACGTTCTTGTATTTCTCCATCACTGGCCAGCTTTGTTTTCATCTTCTGTACAAACAAGTGCTCTAAAATGGGAGTTGGTCCGTGAGCTCCCGCTGCATCCACACAGCTTTCTTTAGACAATTCCTTTCTCTCTCCTCAGTGGAACTGTTGCTTCGTGTGGCTTCGGTTTCATTTTTGAGAGTTTCCCATCCCTCCTTAGCTCACTTCCCTCGTTAGAATTTTAGGCCGTGAAATTCCATTGACGGATAAGCGTCATGCCTTCTAAAAATCCAGGGGCTGCCTTAGCCAGAGGTGCACAAACAGCGTGTGTGGCTCATTCCAGTCTGCTGGCTCGGAGTCCAGGGCGTCATTCGTCATACTCCCCTGCTCCTAGACAGTCCTGCTCCCCTTTGAGCCTCAGTTTCCTCCTGTGTACAATGAAGGGGCTGGGCCAGAAGACCACTGAAACCCTGCCCCGCTTTGCCAGTGGAGGCTTAGGTTCTGTTTGCAGGTCCCGGGAGGGCTCTGTGGGACAGTCTTTGGCTTCCCTCATGGGGTCTGCTCTACCTCTCACTCCCTCTCTCTCTCCGCAGTTCACAACCCTGCAAGGCTCTTGGGTGAGATGTCCCTTTGCTGATGGAAACTTTCCAGGTAATTGCCCAGCGTTGGGTCCGCAGCCTAGCGAATGGCCCCTTCTTCTTCCCGTGGGGGTGGAGGGGTGGGTGAGTCAGCTCAAGTAGGGCTCCTTGCTGCAGTGAGGACCTGCCTTCCCACTTTGTGTCCTCTCGTTGTTTCCACAGCGGCAAAACTATTAGTGTATGATTTTTGAGCTTCAGGGACCAGGCAGGCATTCATCCACTCAACGAACATTTGTTAAGTGAGAGTGCGCAGGGCCTTCATTACCCCAGGCACATGCAGGAGATACAAAGTTACTCTGGGGCTCCACCCCTGCCCTCACGGAGCTCACAGTCTTGTGATCTGCTGGTACCTCCCCTGACCCAGACCTTGTTTTTATTGGTATCCAGTGGGCACGTGGGATCCCCTCAGTAGAGCAGAAGCTTCCTGAGGACAGGGGATTGGTCGGTCTTTGTTATTATGGTCATAGCTCCTAACCCTGTGCTGGAACACATGAAGTGCTTCGGAAATGTTTGTTGGTCCGTGAAATACAAACACCAGTAACTGTAACCTGCAACATTATGGTGTCAGTATGTCAGGGAGGGACACGGGAGTAGCCCCCAGAGGAGTGACCCTGCCGACAAGATGGGTCAGGGAAGGCTCCCTGGAGGGCGTGGCTTTGGAATTGGATTTAAGGGAGAGGCAGGGATCTAGCCAGCGAAGAGGGATAGGGAGGGTATTGCCAGCGCCAGAGCCAGACCTGCTCCCATTTTTGAAAAGGAAGGAGTGATTTTCCTTGAAGGACTTTAGTGCATCTCAGACCTCATGCGTGGAGAGAGGGTCATGGTGGGGGCAGTGCTAGGCATGGAAGGAAGAGTCCAGGGCTCCAGGCCAGGAGTGGGCAGAGGAGGCTGGGCTCAAAGGGGGCAGGGAGCCCCCACCTGTGCCTCATGCCATGTGACCCTTATGTGGCGACCACCCTGGGCTCATTATCAGGCTGGAAGATGAAGATTCATCAGTTACCGGACAAGTTCCGGGCCTCCTTCATCTCGAGGAGCCCAGCCCACTTCCAGGTACATCTCTGCAACCGGACTGAGCCTTTCCATTGTCACGTGCTTGAGACCATCTCTGTGGGATCACAGGTGAGCTGGGAAGGAGGGACACCAACCCCCTGGCTCAGACCCAAGGACAGGGCCCTGGACACACACTGACATGGTCAAACATTCACATACCCACAGCGTCCTAACTTCTTCTAAACTCCAGAAGCCCTCCAAGGTTCCTCTGCCTACGGGAAGCCTTCCCTCATTGCTCTGGCCCAGGGGCTCAGTAATGTCAGGGAGAGGCCAGAGGACTTAGGTGCTGGAGTTTGGAGAGGTTAGACAGCCCCACGACCCGTGGGACCTTTCCCGGGCCCTTTGCTGATCCATTTGCTGGCACCCAGGGCCGAACCCCAGGCCATTCCTCAGTCCCTATTCTAAAGCAATTAGGGGAGGCTTCCCAGAGGAGAGAGGCTTCCTTGTGAAGCTGCACCTGAGGAGGAAGAGGAGAGCTCGCACGCATGTGTAGCTGCACATAGGTAGACAGGGGTGTGCCATGGTGCTTGTGTGTGTGGGTGGGTTTGTGGCACAAGCTGGATCCTGTTACAATCATGTACCTGCTGAGCAGGGAAAAAGCTTGTAGTCCCCTAAGGCAGCTGGGAGCTGACATCTTGGGGATTGATGGAGGAGAAGAGGAGAGGCTGAGGCTTCCCTGGGACCTTGGGGGGGTTGGCCGGGCCATGTGACTGTTTTTCTCTACCCTAGGGAGATGCAGATGCCATCGCCCATGTTGACATCCCAGAGGCGGAGGTCTGCTCCCCAGATATCTGCATCCAGGTGGGTCCCCATTTCCTCCTAGGGTTGAGACAAGGCCCTGCACCCAGGAATGGGCCCCACAGGCTGCTATTTCTTGGGAGGACCTGCCCCAGTCTCTGGCAGATCCAGACTAGTGGTCTTTCTTTTGTTCATTCATTCCTAACATTGCTTACATGCCTCCTGTATGCAGAGCCCAGTGCTGGGGACTGGGAGAGACACAAAGTTTAGCACCTCATGGTGCTCAGTCTCTAGTTGGAGAAAAAGACACGAACATGGATAGCCATGCAATATAAGTGACTAAAACTGAGAAGAAGCTTGTGGGTGGCAGAGCTAGAAGCGATCTGGGGTCTGACCCACTTCAGCAAAGAAGGGGAGAGTCAAGGGCTGAGGCTCCACCATAGACATGCCAGCTGGTGGAGAGGTCAAGGAGGACCCGGGACACCCAAGGTTGGGCAATCTCTCCTCTAGTGTCCAAAAGAGATGACAGGCTGCGAATCGATATCTCTGATCTAGCTGGCTGAGGCTTGGTTCAGAAGCAAAGCCTCTTCTCTAGTTACTCTGGAGGGGGAGGCTAAATCTTACTTCACTCATCCTTTCCCACCCCATCTGGATACACCAACAGCACATAAATAGAAAACAGCAAGTAACCTCGTTTATCCAAGCAAACAGAAATCAGAGAAATTGCTGAAATGAGATCATACCAAAGAATATACAACAATGAATGGGCTCTTCAGCTGAGAGAGAGATGAGACCTCAGCTCAAACTGAGAAAGACAGAGACAGAGAGGGGTAGGAGAGAGACACAGAGAGGTGGGGGGGGAGAGACAAGAGAGAGAGATAGAGACAGAGACAGAGAGGGAGAGAGAGAGTGATAGGAGAAAGACACTGAGAGGGAGGGGGGAGAGAGAGAGGTGAGAGCGGGAGAGGGAGGGAGGGAGGGAGAGAGAGACAGAGACAGAGACAGAGAGGGAGAGAGAGAGAGAGAGGGAGAGGAGGGTCATTCTAGCGGTCTCTAGCATTTCAAGCAAGTTCAGAGATCTGGGGCCAATGTGAACCATTCCAAATTCTCTCTCTCTCTCTCTCCTTCCTGGGGTGTCCTCTGTCTACAGATCATTCTCTCTCTCTCTTGGTTTGAGCTGAGATCTCATCTCTTTCCCAGGAGAATATCTAGAGCCAACCTGAGTAAGTCTGTCGTGCAGGTAGGCAGCAGCAGCACACAGCACTCTCTCCACCAATCAAGAGTCTCATCTCTCTCTGCATATGCAGGAGTATTCAGGGTACCCCAGGCTCAAGAGAGAGCTGAGCCCCGACTGTAGAATCACATGCTTTGGGGAGTTCATCTCGCTAAAAAGAATCATCTTCACCAAGGAGATGTCCAGACTGCTGATCCACGTTTGGGGAGGATGAATCCCATACCTTCTTCATCTGGCCTTGGGGCAGCTCTGCCTGGCATCTGGGTTAAATTGGAAATACCCCCTCTTTGCTCACACTCTGCCCTCTGGGCTAAACACACACAAATCTAATACTGGGGGTCTTGCTGAGGTCCCCCCCAACTTCATTTCCAGGGTGTTCCATGCTAAGTAGATTAGAGAGTTTTGTAATTACTAAGACTTTGAGGCCTGAGGAGGAGGCCACAGGCTCATAGAAAAGATTCTGAAGGGACCACTAGTCTAACCCTCTCATTTTACAAAGTGGGAAACTGAGGCCCAGGAAGGCTCAGTGATTTGCTCAGGGTCACACAGAGATAGTGTTTGAATGCTATTCCTCCAGCCAATCTCTTTGTGGGAGCCTGGGCCAGGGCGTTCACCATATGATAGCCAAGGTCATAACAGAATGGGATACTGTAGCCTATGCAAAAGGGCTTCTTGGATGAGGGCTTTTAAAGAGGGCAGGAATTCAATAGGTTAAAGGGGCAGGAAGGCACTCCAGGCATGGGGAATGGCCTGAGCAAAAACATGGAGGCAAAACGATTTAGCGAGTGTTTGGGGCAGAATTGTCTAGTGCGACTCGACTAGAGAATGTGTGAAAGGGGGTAATATGAGAGAGAAGCCGGAAAGGTAGAGTGGCACCTGAGCTAGAAGGGCTTTCCACACTGAGGAGAAGAGTTTGGCTTTGGCTCAGTAGTTAATAGGGAGCCCCTGGAGGTCTTGGAGCAGAAGAACGACTTCACTGAATTTTTCTAGCAGTGTTTGAGGGACCAATACAGGAAGGAAAGAGGAGGGATTGGGGGGAGGGGGAAAACCTGATAAGAAGTAATTGTGAAAGCTCAGGGGTGGTAATAAGGGCCTGATAGCCATGGGGAATATGCACTTATTAGTTGCCTATTATGTGCCCCGCACTGTGATAAACACTTTATAATTATTATCTCATTTGAGCGTCACAACAACCCTGTAAAGCAGGTGCCATTATTATCTGTTAACTGAAGGGTCTCCTTGGAGAAGTGGAATTAACTTTGTTCTGCCCCACGGGGAAGAGTTGGAAGCCAAATATAATCCTGAGAGCTGTCCTGAAACGAAGGATGTGGGGGCCTGTCCTCGAGACATTGAGGGGATGTCAGAGGATGGTGGAGTAGGAAAGAAAACCCCCTGGCTCTGAAGTCAGGAAGTGCCCAAGTTCAAATCTCTATCCATCACTTACTAATTGTGTGAAACTGGCTAAGTCATTTCCCCTCTGGGTCTCAGTTTCCCCCTGCAAAATGGGGGCACTCATCATACCTGTAAACCTTCCCTCACTGGGTTGCTATGAGGATTGAGGGAGGTAACATGGCTGAGAAAGTCTTGGAGTAGTTTGTAGTTTGAACAGAAGAATAATCATCTTTGTTGGGTCTCTACAGGGCTGGAGGACAGATGTGGATTACTCGGTTCCTGCACAGATGTGTGACATCAGATGCAGTGAGTGGGAATGTGTGACTGTTGTGTAAACATTCCTTACCCCAAAGTTCCCCAAGGGAGCCCCTAGCTGGGTGACATAACCCTGCCCTCAGGGAGCCCCCCCCATCTCAGATAGTCACAGCCCTGCCCTCAGGGAGCCCCCCATCTGAGAGGTGACAGCTCTGTCCTTAGGGGAGCCCCTAGCTGAGTGGGTGACAGCCCTGCCTTCAGGGAGCCTCTTCTCTGAGGGAGAGATATAGTGGGGGTGGGATTGGGGCAGGGGAACAACAGGAAACCCGACCTTCTGAGTACCTGCTGTGTCGAGATCTGGAAATGAGGTACATTTTCAGGGTCTGACATCTTTTGTCTCTGTTCTGAAAGCCTTGAGGCCCAAGGAGAGGCAGAGAAGGGATGTCCCCTATCCCTAGGGCATGATGTCTGAGGACTGGGCAGCAGAGAGCCTGATCAGGGTCTGGGGGAGGATTGGGCCTGTGCTCTGGGCCCAGAAAGACCTGCTCCGGATGTGGGGCTGCCCTGGGAGTCACAGATATCGTAACCTGGGCTCCCAGAGGCTAAAGCTGATAACCTGGGAATAGCTGGGGCTTGGCCATTTAACTTTAACCTGTGGTATGTGGGGAGGTATCCAGTACTGTGGGAAGGGCCTAGGAAAGACTGGGAAAATCCTCTGTCCTCCCACCCAGCCCCTCCCCCCTTTCCTGAGACCTAAGGACTGCCTCCTACCCCTTGTGCCCTCTACAAGACAGAGGCTTCTCTTCCCCAGGGAAGGCTGGGGTTCAGAGGGGTTCAGACAACCCTAAGAAGGAGTGGGGAACCTGGCTTTCAATGACAAAGGGCTGGGCCAGAGGTAGAAACCTCCCCTGGATGAGAAGTAGGGTGGGATTCCTGGTGCTTAAGTAGGTGTGGGGAGAGGAAGCAGGCACCCATACAGGTCCTCCAGCAGGCAGCAGGGGAGCAGAGCACACAAGATGCAGTCCCACCTCTGCCATTCACTGCCAGGTGATTATGGGCAAGTCTTCGGGCATTTGTACAGTGAGTGGATTGCCCTCCGTCATCTCAACGGTGTCTTCCAAACCCCCTCAAAATGGGCCTTACGGTCTTCCGGCAGTGCCCGAGCTTCCTGTTCTCTGGGTCCTGGGGAGGATAGAAGGGGTGCCTGTGGTCATCGGAGCACCAGCCTGAGAGGCAGCAGCCCTAGGTTAGAGTCCTTAGCCCTCCCCACTGTCTGTCCTCATTTTTCACCTCCATCCTGCTCCCAACAGCCTGCCATCTGCCTGAGCAGGCCAGAGGTTTATCAGGGACAAGCAGATGTGTAGAAAACATCTGACGTGGGGGTGGGGTGGGGCTGGCACCCCTCCAGAGCGGGAGGCCCCTTTAAGACCACCTCCCCAGTGCAGGACTCAGGGCTCCCCCTCATGGCATGTGCCAGCCCAGCCCTGGGGAGCTCGTGGCAGGCTTTCAAACCTGCAGAGGCAGGAGGGGCAGGAGCGGAGCAGGTCTACGTGCTACTTCCCTCGATGGTACTGGAAGGAGAGGCAGACTAGGGAGATGAGGAGGCGGTGAATGGCCAGGAGGTTGGGGCAGATGTGTGACCCATCCACACAGGGGCTGGACGAGGTGATCCCTGATTCCTCCCCAAAGTCCATTCTGGATCATTGCCCGAGCCCATTGATTCCAGCCCTATGCTGCCCATCTGTTAGGCAAACTTCCCATCTGAGAGGTGACAGCACCCCCCATCTGAGATGGTGTAGAGGAGTGTAGAGGAGTCCACCAGTGACCTCAGGGCCTGGAATCCCCCTGGGTAGGTGAGGCTAAAGTCCTTCTTCATTGATTATTAGCCACCAATACTAATAGGACCCTCTTGGGTTTCTGTGGGGCCCTAAAGCCTGAAGTCAGTCAGTCACCCAACAAACATTTATTAAGCACAAATTTAAGGTCCAGTTATGTGCCAGGCACTGTGCTAAGCTCTGGGGATACAAAGAGAGACAAAAGATGGTCCCTGCCGTCAAGAATCTCAGTCTGAGCTGAAGCAGAAAAAGAAACAATCCTTGAAACTCGAGGGCCAAGACACTTTTGTCCCCAAGAGTGCCCAAAGCTGAGGGAGTGGGAGCCCAGGCAGGAGGAGGTGCCCACGTGGAGGGCTCGCCAGTCTCTGGGGCGTCCCCACTGCAGCCTGAGCAGTCCTCTCCTGGCACAAAGCCCCAGCATGCCGGGCATCTGGAATTGATTGCTTCTTGTGTCTGCCTGTCTATAACAGCCCGATTTCACAACAAGCCTTTCCTTTGAGCCCCAGGGGGTATAGCTTTGTCCTCTTGTTTCTAGAATCATTTTTCTCAGAAACTGGGGACAACAAGGACATGTGCTCTCAGTTTGGAGCCATGCTGAGTGATGACAAATCATAAGTCTCAGCTGTGACCTTGAGAGCCCCATCCCAGGTCCCACTCAGCAAGGAGGGACCACTTCCCTGAGAGAGAGTGAGCCCGGGGCCGCAGGAGCCATCAGGGCCTCTGTGGCCCAGCCCAGCTCAGAGCAGGAGTGCCCTGAGTCACGTATCCTCCCCACTGCAGCCTTCTGTTGAAGGGAGGCAGCCTGATCCACTTTGGGGCAGCTTTCTGGCCTCCAACCTGAATCAGCCTCCCCCCTGGCTGGATCTGCCCCCTAGAACACAGCTGATCCCTCCCCAGCCTCAGTCTTCCAAGTACCTGCAGACAGTTCTCAGGTCTCCCCTCAGCTTTCTTTTCACCCTAAACCTCCCCAGGTGCCAAGTCCTTGCAAGAGACTGGCCTCCCCTGGACTCGATCCAGATTTTCAATGTCCCACCTAAAATGTGGTGTCCAGGATTAAACAGAATGTTCAAATGCAGTCTGACCAGGGCAGAGAGCAACAGAGGCATTGACTCGCCCTCCCCACTTCCTGGGCCTCCTTCTGCCTTACATTATAGCCCACAAGCCCATCAGCTTTCTTGGTTGTCTCATCTCACGGCAAATGCGACCAGTATGTGTTAAGCCCGGAGTCTACTAAGAACCTCAGATCTTATTCATTTCTTTCTTACCTCTTGCGGACATACAAACAGTACATACGTACATACACAGTAGATGCTTAGGAAATGCTTGTGGAGGGGCGGAGGAGATATCTCTCAATGTTTATCTCAGCTGGTCCATATTAGGGTTGCCTTTGCCTTCAGAGGTATGAGGAGAGTGGACAGAATTCTCACCTCCAAGTCAGGAGCCCTGGATTTGATTCCCTGGACAGGCACTCACCAGTGGAGGTGGGGTGTGGGAGTGGGGGTGGGGGTGTTACTTTGCCTCTCATTGCCTCTGAGCAGTGAGCCTTCCAGGTGCTGGGACCAAACCCTTTGTAGAATCAGTGCTTGCTATAAAGATGGAGTCGGCTGCTGTCTTGAGCTCAGCCCAGCTGAGCAATGATATAGATCAACTCAAATGCGAGTGAATGGTGCCTAGGCCCTGCCTGCCCCCAGGAGCTGTACTGTGTGTTAGGGGAGGGACAGATGAGAAACAACCCCCCAGACCCTGCCCTCAGAGAGCTCCCAGTTTTGGGGGTACAGAGGAGAAGCCCCCCAGATCCTGCCCTCAGGGAGTTCCCAGTTTTGGGGGGTACAGAGGAGAAGCCCCCCAAGCCCTGCCCTCAGGGAGCTCATCGTTTAGGTGGGAGAGGAGACACACTGAGAACACTAATGGTACAAGACAGGATGTGCCCCAGGGCTGGGGTCAGGGGTTCTGACTCTGAGGGCTGAACATCCCCCTCCCCAGGTTCTTGGCCTGGCCTTGAGTTGAGCTCTCTCCTCTCCCAGACAGGTCCTACAGGAAGAGACAGCGAAGGCCACATGACTCTCCTCTCACCATCCACAGGTAGGCCCAGGGCCTGGATTCTGTGGAGGGGGCAAAGCTGGGGAGACCTGAGAATGCCTTGGGCCAGGCCAGGTGGGCCAGGGGTGGAGGGGCTCACAGCCTCCCTGAGATCTGGCTTCAGGAAGGTGGGAGCGTGGGGGGTCCCACTGGCTCAAGGCTTGGGTCAGACAGTCCATTCATTGCCATCATCTTCAACCGTGCCCCCAGGTGGGAAAGAAGAGCTCGTGCATCTCCCTAAGGATAGCCCAGTGCCCACCTCCTTGCCAGTGCGCTGGCCTCTTCTGGGCAGCACCAAAGCCTACTAGACCCCTTGCCTCCTCCCAAGAACTCCTGCTAGCTGGATGGTTCCCAAGGACTGTGGCTGTAGGCCAGGCTTGGGCTGGCTCACCACCAGAGCCCCGAAGGCCCGTGGCATTCCAGGTGGTCTCTGGGACTTGGTGTTGTCCTGATTTAACCGAGGGGCTGAACAGGCTCTCCAAATGCCCTCCATTTCCTCCCCCTCCAGTCCATTTCCCCTTGCCCTCTCTCTCCCTCCACTCTGAGGTCTAATGAGACATTCCTCTGTTGTCACTGGGCCCTGAAGGCCGGAGCTCTTTGAACATGATTGCCACGTCTTCTCTGCCTCAGACCCTGGCACCCCCACCCCAAGACTGTAACCCAGGGCCCATGGTTCAGTGAGGGGTTAGAGGAGCCCACAGGATCCCCTCCTGTTCCGACAACCCCAGAGATTGGTGCTGGTCTGTTGTTTGGACCCCCAGCACATCTGCGGCACACACTGGCTCGACTCCTAAGCCTGGGGCCCTGTGTGCAGTCTGGGAGCTCTGCCAAGCCTTAGGAGACTGCCTTCTGCCCTGCCCCCTCCCTGGTGCCTCTCTGGGTTTTTGGTTGGGGCCACCTGGCAGGAGCCTGGCCGTCTGACTGTCCAGTAGAGTGGAAGCTCCTGGGGGGCAGGGACTGTGTCCTTTTTGGCATCTAGCACAGGGCCTGGCACATACTTGGAAATTAATAAACACTTGTTGAGTTGAGTTGGTTGGGGCCAAGGGGCAGGCTGACATGGGAACTCCTGATTACTGCCTCTTCTCATCCCCCAGCATGGGGCTCTCTCTCTGCCTTTTCTTCAGCCTGCACAGTTGCAGACAGCTCTGACTCAGTGTCCCCCTGGGATGTGTCCTGCACAGGTTAGAGAATCCTCTTACTTCTCAGTGGTGACTTTCATTCCCATCTCAGAAATCATTCAAAGCATGTTTCTGAGTCTGACATTCAGGGCTCCTTCTATCATGACTACATCCTATATCCTCTCCCTCGGCTTTGGCCTAGACAAATCCTCACCGACACCCCCATCCCCAAGCCAGGCCAGTTTCCTGACCATCCCCTGCCCCGTGCCATGGTTCTGCCCCTTTGCCTCTCTGTGAGGGTCTCCAGAGGACATCTGGTCCCTACCTGGTGGGAAGCTCATTAGCTCCAGAGATAATCCCACTGCGCTTTTGGCTATCTCTAATTGTTGGGAGCTTTCTCCTCCCTTTGAACCTGAATCTATCCTTCTGCACACCCTCCCAACGTCCGACTTTGAACTTGGCTCTGGGGGAACCGAGCAGGACAAGTCTGAGCCTTCTTCTGGGGTTCTCCATAGCTTTCCAGGCACTGAGTCCCCATCCAGAGTGCTGGGTCCTCATCATGGGAGGGATGATTAAGCCCTTCCCGAGCTAATCCCTCAGCTCCCCTGAGTGTTTGAAGCCTAGAAGGAGAGGAAGGGATCAGCCTCGATTCTCCCAGCCTCTGAGAGCTAAGCAGGCGCACAGGAGGAAGCTGCCGAAAGGCAGACTTTGGCTCAGTGTGCGAATCATCCATGACCCTCCCCCAAGCTTCTGGGCCCCCACAGACCTAAATCCTATGGGGAGGGCAGGATCCGAGAGCTCGGCATCATCTTCCCACTTTGGCTCATTGCCCCCCACCTGGAGGGACTCCAGGACACTTGCACCTCCACTGGGCAGTTGTATGGATATGAAGGACTGGCTTTATTTCACCCTGTAAAACATGCAGAGTTCGCAATGCATTCAGAGGAATCCACAAACAGATACAGAAACTCACAGAGCCCACCGGGTCCCCTGAGAAGGGAAATGATTGGTATTGCCGTTGGGACAGCCCTTGGATACTCTGATGGATCCCGAGTGCCACCAAGGTCCTACACAGCCACCTGTTCCCTCCCACTGATTGGGACACCCCACAGTTTGCATTCGGCTGGAAAACAAACACACTTCAGGGCTACCCAACAATCAATCCCCTCCCCACGGGATATGCGCTTCCTAAATCAATCCCTGGCTTTGTTTACCAGGTAGGATGTACTCAGGAATCAGGCAGGTGATCCTTTTCTTTTTCCATTGAGCAAACTGCCTCGGGAAATTTGTCTCTGTCCTGAAGGTTAGATTAGAGAATCACATGGAGAATAAAAAACACTCCATTCTCCACAGAGGAGTTAGATGTTCATGAACAATCTGTGCTTTGGGACCGTGTGGACATGCCCCAGCCATGTGCTTCTGCATTAGGGTGCTTGGGCAACAGTATCAGTGTCCGGGTGCTGCCAACTTTTGGACAGAGAAAGCGGGTACCTAGAATCTTTCTTCTCAGGCCATCTGTAGCAGCAACCATTCTCAATTCTTTGGGTGGGTGGGGGGGGAGAAGACTGGGGGACCACATGGATGAGGAAAAGGGAGTTCCATAAGAGATTGGCCTGTCAGCATACTTTGTGGACCATAAGAGACTCGCTCCTCTGACAAGAGTCATCCTTCTGAGTCCTCGGCCAGCCAATCATCTTGGAGATAACCCTAGCCCCTGAGAGTCAATCAGAAATTCTGTGTCCTTTCCACAAGATGCCAGAGGTCTTGGCCACACTCTCTATGGGGAAGTGCTTCAAATTCCCCCAGAAAAACCCTAATTGTGACCTATCTGTTCAACACCTTTCCCCCAAGCTTAGTCAGACAAAAGCTTCCTAACAATCAGGGCTGTTCAAAGGTGTAATGGTTTTCCTAGGAGGAAGTGAGCTCCCTGCCAGTAGAGACATTTAAGCGGAGATTCAATGACCACTTAACAGGAAAGACTCCTGTTCAGGTATGGATTGGGTTAAATGACCTCTCAGATCCCTTCCAGTACCAATTCCGGAAGTTCGGGACACTCTAGAGTCCAAACCACTGCCACTAGTAATGGCATTCAGTTGCCACATCTACTCTCTCCCCTGATTGACCCACCCCCGCATACACTGTCTACTCCCTCTCTGGTCCCCCCTTCCAGGATTTCTTATCTGTTCATAAGAAAAAGGAATGATTTTGCAAAGGTACTCCAGAAATCCTGAGGCTTCAAAGGAAAAATCCCAAGACTGGGAGCCGGAAACATAGGTTTAAATTATGATTCTCCTATTTACAACACCAAGCAAGTTTTTGTCCTCTCTGGGCTTCAGTTTCTTCCTCAGTAAAATGGGGGGGGGGGTGGTGTCAGGAGGGGATGAAGTCTCTTTCAGCTCCAGGTCCCATGGATCCTACCCTGTCTGGCTTCCCAAACTTGCTCAGAGCCCAAATGCTTGGTTCCCTCCATGATCTCATCCACCTAGTTGCCCCTTCCCCCAGCCTCCAAGACACGGCTTGGCTGCCTCTTTGCAGCTGAATTTCCACCACGGCTCCTGGTTTACCCATCGCCTGAAGCAAATGATCAGCTAGGCAAGTGGCCACAGATACCTATTTGAGGCTGAGCCTTCCAAGTGATCTGACTCCTTCAGCAACCTCTGTCTCTGGTCTTTCCCTCTCTTGAACCTAGGGGGAATATTTGGGGTAGTGGCCAAATGACTTATCCAGGGTCATAGCTAGTGACAAAGTCCGTTACTTCATCAGTGTAGATGCCTGAAGACCTTTAGTACTATTTCCCAGCCCCCTCAAAATATATATATATACATATATATATACATATATAAATATATATGTGTGTGTGTATGTATATGTATGCAGACACACACACACATACACATATGACTTCAAACTCAAGGTAATGGACACAGTTAGTGACCTGGGCAGTGGCACAGAACGAGAGCAGATGATCCAATAATCACCCCTGATCAGGGACTTAATAATGAGAGAATGTATCGAGAGCTCTTGGAGGTGTGCAAAGTGCTTTCCATACATTGTATCACGTGCCTCACAACACCCTGGAAGGGAGGTGCCCTTGTTATTCACACTTACAGATGAGAAAACAGGCTGAGAGAAATTAAATGAATAGCTCAGGGTCACACAGCTAATAAGGGTCTGAGACAGATTTGAACTCGGGTCTTCCTGACTCCAGGCCCAGTACTCTGTGCACTCTGGCACCACCTGGTCCTCACTGTCTACTTAACAACCAAATGATATCTAAGCTCATTGACAAGTGATACCTTGGGAACGAGTGCACTTGACACAAGGGGACCATGTGCCCATTCCCAAGGTGAGAGAAAATGAGACCCTGAGGTCAGCAGCAGGTCATACAGGCCCCCAGCATTGTTCACCTGCCAAGCATTTAGTCCACGGAAATGAGACAGGCACCAGCTAATCCTTGCTTAGAGTCGCCATGGTTTTCCTGGTGCAATTATGAGCAGAAGAGGAGGATGGAAAAGAAGGAAAGTGCCTTCTGCCTGGCAGGGATGGAATTATCCCAGTGATTAGCACAGTGCCTGGCACAAAGTAGATAATAAATGTTGGTTGATTAATAGCCAGGTGGGCCTGGGGGTGTGGGAGATGAGTGATGAGGAGGATAAAGGAGCAGCTGAGAACCTGTCATCCACCACTCCAGGGGTGGTTAAAGGCCTGCCAAACCAGCGCCTCACCCAAAAGGAGAGCAGAAGTCAACCCATGAGCAAATAGGAGTGAAAGGAAAGCTTTAGCCACCCCCAGTTGCCATCTTAACCTTGATAGCTAGAGAACTGGGGATGTGCAACAGAGATGGGGGAGGGGCATGAACTTGGGTGAGGAAAGAAATTTACATCTTTATTTCTGCCAACCTGGAGTTTTCTTTGTAATCCTATGTGTTTTGCCATATGTATTTAAAAACATGATTCTTAGAAAACTCAGTTCATAGGCTTCCCCAGACTGACTGCCAGAGGGGTTAAGAACTCCCAGGCTAGAGCGTTCTTGGCTGTCAGCAGTAAGGATGAGAAGGTCAAAACTGGAAGGAGGCTAGGGAAGTCGGTCTGACTGACAGAGGCTCCCTACAGTCACTCTTGCCCAGTGCTGAAGGAAGGAATTGAAGGTTTTCATATGTCTTTTCTGGACTCCTTCTGTCTCTGTCTCTCTCTCTGTGTCTCTGCCTCTCTGTCTCTGTCTCTGTCACTCTGGGTTTCCACATAATGCACCATACAATAATGATAAAAAATATTTATGTAGTATCTACTATGTGCCAGGCACTGTGCTGAGTGCTTGACAACGATTTCATTTGATTCTCATGACAACTTATTTTTAAGATGAGGAAACTGAGGCAAATAGATTGGGTGACTTGCCTAGGGTCCCACAGATAGTAAGTAGCTGTGTAGATGTGTATAAAATATGCCCATGAGGTTCCAGGCCTGACTCTTTCATAGATATTTTATATTCTGCATACACAATAGTCATTATTTGTAAAACGAACTAAAAAAGTGTGGCAAAAACCAATGTTGGCCTTTTTCAGTGAAATGGAATGGAAAAATCTAATTCTGTTCTCATTTTATTATGTTGGTGCCATACGACAGCTAGCAAAAGCTTGTTAAAATTAAGAATAAGGTTATTGAAAATAGAAAATAAATACTCCAGCCCTCTGCCCCTCAACGGGAAGTGTTTGTGACCGGTGGATATCACGTGGTGGCCAGTGAATGCTCTGGGCAGGGTCTGCTCCACACAGCGGGAGGCGGCTCACAGGTGGGAGGGCCCTCAGGAGGCCGCTAGTCCAGCCTGTGCCAGACAAGAGTCTCTCTGCCTCATCCCTTTAAAGCGTCCTCCAGCCTCTGCTTGAATCCTCTGGGGATGGAGAACTTCCTCCCTTCCTCCTTCCCTCCCTCTCTCTCTTCCTTCCTCCCTCTTTCTCTCTTTCCCTTCCTCCCTGTCTCCATCCTCCCATTTATCCTTCCCTCTCTTCCTTCCTTCCTCCCTCCCTCCCTCCTTCCCTCCCTTCCTCCCTCTCTCTTTCTTTTCCTTCCTCTTCTCCCTTCTTTCCTTCCTCCCTCCCTCCTAAGGCAGCTCTCCTCACTGTCCTCTGGGTCAGGCAGAATCCACAGCCCTTCAGATACTTGGAAGGAGTTATCCCGTTCCCCCTGAACTTTCTCTTCTCCAGGATAAACAATCCTAGGTTCTCCAGCTGATTGTCAAAGACCCTCCCTCATCCCAGGGGTCACCCCCCCTTCTACCCAGATCCTTCCTAAAACAGTTCAACCCAACACTCTTCTTTGCCTGCATTGCCACTATCTGGCAGAGCTCCCTGGTGATTGTCCTCGTTTTACATATGAGGGCACTGAGGCCCAGAGTGCAGTGAGGGAGTGGAAGGAAAGGGCCCCAGAACCTGGCTCCGTGCTCTGTTCTCCCCTGCAACCCCAGCATGCCTGAAGCTCCCTGTGGCCATTAGTGACCCAGGCAAGGAGCTAGGAGTAGGGGCTTGCCTTCACCCTTGGCTGTATATGGATGGGGGGAGCATGGGGATAGGATGGGCAGGCGGGTGGGGGCCAGTACCCGGATCAGGAAAGCCTCCAGACAGCCTGGAATGTTGGAATGGATGGCAAGGGGAAAGATTGTATTCCAATGTAACCATTTCAGTCCCTGTCTGGATAGATGTTTTTGTGAGTCAGAAACCAGAGGAAGCCCCGAGCCCCTCCCACTGAGTCACAAGCCTGGATGGGCCTGGGTGAGAATCCTGGAGCTGGGAGGGCCCTTAGACTTCATCTAGTCCCACTCCTCATTCTTCAGCTGGAGAAACTGAGGCAGCCCAGAGAAGGGCGAGGAAACGATTTGTCTAAGGTCACAAGACTAGGGAGCAGCAGAGCTGGTGTTCCAGGCAGCCTAACTTAGCGATTAGTCAGATCTGGACATCACCAAGAGTGCTCCCCACCACATCCTGATGAGTCGTAGCCCGGCCTCTGCCTGGTCTTCAGTGGCAAGGGGCTCCCTCCCTCCCGAGGCAGTCCCTTCCAGTTTTGGACACTTCCAAATGGTTTTCCTTTCGAGCTTAACTTTGCCTCAAACCAAGCCTGCCACCTCCCATCACCCCTGGTTCTGCCCTCTGCAGCTGGGCAGGACAAGCCTCTTCCGCATGACCTCCCTTCGTATTTTTGAAGGCAGGTGTCGCGTTCCCCCTGAGGTTTCTCTGAGCCAAACACCCCCTAGTTCTTAAAGTGTTCCTGACACAGCATGGACTCTGGTCCTGGCTGCCCTCCTCTGGTTTGTCAATATCCTTCCTCAGCTGAGGCTCCAGCGCTGGTTTGAGGATCATGAACAAGCCGTAGTCAGTCAATAAATGTTTCCATTCCAATTCACTGAAAAAGGCCGACACTGGTTTTCCCCAATTTTTTTAGTTCTTTTTACAAATAATGACTATTGTGTATGCCGGATGTAAAATGTCTATGGAAGAGCCAGGCACTATGCTAAGTCCTGGGGACACAAAGAAAGACAAAAGACAACTCTTGCTCTCATGGAGCTGAGTGTAATAGGGCTACAACATGGAAATAATCAACAGAGGGAAGGCTTTAGAAGTATGCGAGGTTGGGGAGGGCTTCCTGTAGAGGGCAGGATTTTAGCGGTGACTTGAAGAAAGCCGGGGAGGCCAGGAGAGGGAGATGAGGAGGGAAGACATTGCAGGCATGGGAGACAGTCGGTGAAAATTCCCCGAGTCAGGAGATGGAGGCTCTTGTTGGAGGAGCAACCAGGAGGCCAGTGTCACTGGATCAAGGAGTTATAGGGAGGGGAGGATGTAAGGTGTAAGAAGACTGGAAAGGTGGAGCGGGGCCAGGCTGTGAAGGGCTCTGAATGCCAAACCAAGTTTGATATCAGATCCTGGAGAAAACAGGGGGCTACTGAAGTGACTGAGTAGGGGGATATGGTCAGACCTGCACTTTGGGAAGATCACTTTTCAGCTGAATGGAGAATGGGCTGAAGTAGGGAGAGACTTGCGGCAGGCAGACCCCCAGCAGGAATGAGGAAACCAGGCTCTGCACCAGGGTGGTGGCAGTGTCAGAGAAGAGGGGGTGTGGATGACAGATATGAGAAGGCAAAATGGACAGACTTTGGCGACAGATGGGATATGAATGGGGGGAGAGGAATTGAGTGTGACATCAGTTGTAAGCCCAGTAAGCTCCCGAGTGACCAGGAGGATGGTGGTGCCTTCAGTAATGACAGGGAAGTTTGGAAGGTTTGAGGGGAAAACATGTTGAGTTCAGTTCTGGACATGCTGAGTTTGAGATGTCTGTGGGACATCCAGTTTGAGATGCCCAATGGACAGTTGAAGAGGGTGGCCACAGGTTTGAAGAGAAATTAGCACTGGCTAAGCAAACAAGCCATCAGCAGAGATGATCAGTGAACCGTAGGCACTGATGAGATCTCTAAGGTAAATGGGGTAGAGAGAGAAGAACAAGGGCCCAGGACAGAACCCTGGGGGCCACCTACAGTTAATGAGCGTGGCCTGAAGGAAGATCCAGTCAGGGAGACTGAGAAAGAGAGATCTGGTCAGAGGCAGAGAAGGCCGGGGATATTTGACATCTCAGAGGGAGGAGGGGTCTTGGATTTATCCAGTTCAACCCATCCTTTACCAAGAATTTTCTCTACAATACCTCTTGCAAATGGTCATTCCGCTAGCCTGTATTTGAAGACCTCCAGTAATGGGAAACTCACTACCTCCCTGCTCCAGTTTGGGATAGCTCTAAGTGTTAGAAAGCACTTTGTGACCTCAAAGGCTCATTGCCATCCACAGAATGTCTTTCTTCCTTTAACCCTTTAATCCCTGAGACCTGACATTTCTCTTCTCTTTCCTCTTTCCCACCCCCAAATTACATTCCAATAAGTTCAACCCAGCAAAAATGTAAGTAAGCACCTACTATATGCCAGACATTAGATATCTAGTGATTTAAAAAGAGAAAGAAGTCCTTTCCTCTGTGAGCTTACATTCTATATGGGGAGTGGAAGTGGGGGGGGGTACAGGTAAGTGACTATTAGGGAATTTGGAGGGGCAAAGGAACACTAAAGCTGAAGTCAGGAGAGGCTTCAAATTGAGCAGCTGCCCTCAGCTTCCAAATGCCAGCTCTCACCCCTTCCCATCTACTCCAGGGATCCAGGGACTGGTGGTGACCCTCCCAGGAGCTTGTCCTGAGGCAGAGAAGATGGTGGCAGAGTGGGGAAGCCCAGGATGCCGAGATGGACTTCCCCGGCTTCAGGACTGGCCAGCCTTGGACTGCTCACAGAAGGGCTGGAGCAGGTCCAGAAGAGACGAACAAAAACAAGGAAAAGAAAGGCCACCATGAGAATCATCTGAGAAAACTGGGGGTGTTTTACTTGGAAAAGAGAAGACTTGGGGGAGACACAATAGGTACCTTCGAGTCTTTGCAGTACTATCATCTGCAAGAGGAATTGGATTTGTGTTGCTTGGCCCCAGAGTGGGGAGAATTGGAGGGGATGGGGGGTAGATGCGGAGGGAGAGATTGCAGAAAATCTTGCTGGAATGAACTGTCCAAAAGTGGAACTTAATATTGGAAGGGGTAGTCAGCTCCCCATTGGTGAATGTCTGAGAGCAAAGTCTGACTGAGCATTTATCATGGATGCCAGGGATGCTCAAGTACAGGTCAGTGCCCTTTAACCTCCCTCTCCTCCCTCCCTGAGATGGGAGATTCTGTGGCTTAGAAGCAGGTGACCTAGGATTATGGGCTATTGGCTCTCATGTTGGAGGACCTGACTTCTGACCCAATGTGACCCTGTTCAAGTTACTTAACTTCCATGAACCTCATTTTTCCCATTTGTATGTGAGGGCAGGGGATCAATCCATCACTTCATCACTCCGCTGCACCTAAAGGAGCCAATGAGACTCCTCAGCCAGGTGAGAATATCTCTATTGCATCAATCAAAGGCTCTAGACAAGATGGGGAAAGTTCGGGATCCGTTTAGAAGTCCTTGAAGGTCATTGGATGAAATGGAGTGATGTTGGCTGGGAAGCATATTTGGATTGCTTGAGAATTGGACATGCACGGGACTTGTACAGCCTCAGCGCGCTAAATTGGACTTGGGCAGCTCAGTGGGAGAAGCCTCTAGCTGAGCCCCTGAGGTGGAGGTCTTTGGGGTGGGGAGCCCCTTGGCTCCCCCCCTCCTTTGACCAGAGGGGGAGCTTCTCCTTGGCATCCAAGCAGCAGCGGTTGCTGGCAGTCTATGCAGCAGGAGCTGGGGACAGACTAGATCAAAGGAGGAAGGCAGGTTCAGTATTCTAGAGCCTGGCACAAAGTTAAAACCGGCTTATGGGGAACTTCATGAGTACCCTAGGGGCTGGAAGAAGGGACTTCCAGCAGCCAGGAACTGGGGGATGCCCTCTGGGTACACGAGCTCTCTAAGCCTGAACCTGCTGTCTGCTGCACTCTGTATGTACTGGGGAGAGAGTGTCGGACTCTGAGGCGGACTTTTCCCTTTTTCTAAAAGCTAATTAAGTCTGGCCGACTCACTGACACCTATTGATAAGTATGAGAACGTTCATTGCTAGGGGCTCATGCATTACAATGTTAAAAAGTCACCCCCAGCCCCTCTTGGTTAACCCTAGAGCCCTAAGGGGACCCAGCGCCTGCCCACAAGAGGGGGACGGGTGGGCAGCAATGAGGGGGTGGGGCTGGGTGGCCTCTGAGTTCCTTCCCAGCTTCTCTGATCCTTGGAATCCTGCCTCTAAAAGGATTTCATTTCTCAGTTTATTCATCTGTCAAATGAGAATAATAATCCTTGCATTCCTTCCTTTAGGAATTGCTGTAAGAAAGGTGATTTGTAAGATTACAGAAATGTGAGTACTAGTGGCTGTTGCTGTCCCCTGTGTCCTGAACATGTGTGTCTGTGCCTGTTTTTGTGGCCTGGGCCTGGGTCTGAGTGCCTGGGCCAGCTTGGGAGCCCTGTAAGGCTGGCCTGGGCTCTGTGTGCTTGTCTGTGGAGTTACTTTGGGGATGGAGAGGGCAGGTGCTGGGGCCTGGGCCAAAGTCAGAAGTGGTGGCCTCTGGTGAGAGTGGGGGCAGGTAGGAGGGTGTAGCCCCTTTCCATAGGGAGCCTAGGGATGCTACACCCCCTCTTTCAATCCAGGCAGCTTCATCTAGGTCTATGGAAATTCTCCGAGCTCTTGTGAGCTTAGGGTGCAGATGACTTCATTGTCATCACCAGCCTGGGCATCTCCCAACCCTGCCCAACTCCATGTTCCCCTTCAGAGCCAGAGCTGTCCTCTGCAGTGACTCCACCCCGCACCCTACTCACCACCCCATCCTCACCCATTAGGGTTAGGCACTGCTCCGGGGCATCCTGCTGGACCCAGGGGCGGTTCGGAGGCTACCAGCTCTCCGGTCATGCCTGTCCTTTTCTCCCCTACTCCACCCTCTCTGATCCCTCTTACTTTCCCTCTCTTCCTCTTCTCCCCTCAACTTCCTTCCCTTTTCCAGGGTTTCCTACATCACAAGGAGCTCTGGTAAGCTAGCCTGCCCAGCATTCCCTGGATGTCTACATGAACTCTCCTTCCCCCTCCCAGCCTGTACAATGTGGGGGGAAACACCCTGACATTTCTCTTCACCCTCCTCTTTCTTCTCTTTTTCTCCTTTCTTCCTTTCTTTCTTCTCCCCCACCTCCTCTTCCTCCCCCTCTCTGCCTTTTCAGAACATTAATACAGGTAGGTCCAATTGTGGGGTGAGTGGCCTCTGACCTTTCCTCCCCCAGTTTAGGGAAGGCTGCTGCCCCTTCTCCCTGCCCCCTCCACGGGCTCCTCCATGTTCTGTTTGGGATCCAGCCTGAAATTTCTCCCCAGCCAAACTCCCAGGGTTTAGGTTTTAGGCTTCACAGAGGGAGATTCCAGCAAACTTTTGCTGCCTAGATAGATAGGAACTAATTAGCCAGCCTTGTTCAAACAAACCCAAACAACTTAGCTCACCGGGTGGTTTTTAACGAAAAAGATTTGGAGGTTTTAGTGGCCTCAGTAACTGCCAAACCTGGAAGTAATCTCAGAGATCTCTGATTCATCTCAGACCTAAGAAGCCCTGAGAAGCATCCGTCTAGTCTCTGCTTGAAGACCTTCCTTGATGGGGAACTCACTACCTTGATTCCAGATTGGGGAAAGTTTACAAACTGAAGTGTCCCCTGCTATTTCTATCCACAGATCCTCATTCTGCCTTCTGGGGTCTTGTGCTTCTTCCAAATGACAGCCCTTTAAGGGATTGGACGGCCCAGCCTCCAATTCCTTCCTGGCCACTCTGCCATGAATGCTTTCCAGTTGTGGTCTGGCCAGGATAGACACCAGTGGGGTGATCACCTCCCCAGGTTTGGCTGCCGGACCCCTTCCCAGCCGCCATACTGCACTGTGGTCACACTCTTTATGCTGTTCCTGTTCAGCTTGTAGTCCACTGAAACCCCCAGATCTTTTTTTTTCTTTAAACCATTACATCGTTCTTAATAACTGCCCACAAAACAAAGCCAGAAAACAAAGAGCCCAACGTGACCTCAGGCCTTTTCTTTTTAATGAGGCAGAGCCAAAGCTCACTAGAGATGCCTTCCAAGCGTCCAACTACTCTTTGGGTAACCGTTTGAGCAGGGCATTCACTTGTACTGCTGCCTGCCTCTCATTTCTCCCTCTTTTCCCATAAGAGAGATTTTGTCAAGTACTTTGCTACTGTGTGGGTGAACTGAGTAACTGGCCTGCTGGGTTTAAAAACAACAGCAGAAACCAACTAGATGGACAATTAGCTAAACTAGCCAGATGAGGGAAGGAGTGCAGGGGCGCTGACTGGTGGTGGTGTCAGTATTTTGGAAAGAGGGAGAAAGGCAGAATTCTGTTCATTGCAAAGGAAGAAATCAGCAAGGAGGGTGTTCCAGTCTGCTGCTGACTCTGTGTGTGACCGCAGGCAGATCTGTGACCTCCGGGCGCCTTTGCCTCCTTCTCTGCCCAGCCACCTGCCTGGGCTGCCCTGATGCCCAGGCAGCTGAGAAAGGTCTGGCAGGGTCTGACCCACTGAAAATGAACAAAAGATGAAGGGAAAGGAGAGCTCCGCGTGGCGTGGGCAGGTCTCCCTGGAGAGCGGGCAGTGGCAGGGTCCCTCCCCCTTTAATTCAACAAATATGTATTAAGCGCCTACTATGTGCAGGGCACTCTTCTAGGTGCAGGGAATACAATGGCAAACAGGAAGTAGTTCCTGCCTTTAAGGAATTTGTGTTCTCTAAGGGCACACGATGGATGTGTAGACAAGACAAAGTTTGTAACCCACCTCAGACCGAGCCTCTCTCTGCTCCTGGATACACAGATAAATGGGCTCCCACACTCCAATCTGCATATAGATCTGGGACCTCAGTGATATGAGTGTTGGCTCCAGTGATGCCAGTGGGCACCCAGCCCTTACTGCCTGCCTGTCTTGTGTCTGTTATCCAAGGCAGAGCTCCTCGAAGTCCACGTGGTGGGTATGGGTTGATGCAAGCATCCCAATATCATCTGAGGGCATTTCACCGCTAGGTCATCTACGATCGGGATCCCTCCATGACCAGGGCATACCCTTCTGGCAAACATAGGTGACTAGCTGAGGACTCTCCTGATGAGGCTCAGAGGGTCACAGATAAAAGGGTATCTTTTGGGCAGTGTGTTACAGGTGCATTTACTTGCCTGCTTCATCCCAGAGGTAGAATGTAAGCTCATTGAGGACAGGGGTTGTTCCCTTTTCTTTTTCTTCTTCTTCTTGTCCATGTATTCTCCCCTTCCTCCACCCAGTGCCTAGCACAATGCCTAGAACCCAGTAAAAACTTAATAAATGTTTGTTGTAAAAAAAAAAAAAGGTTATCTTTGCTTTCACCTCTTTCAAGGATTCTCACACAACTTTGATATCTGCATGAAGTGCCCTTTGTTGAAAAAGAATCTTTAAGAGAGTTCTGTTCCCCTAATCATGGACTATATTCTAGTGAGCAAATTATTAGCACAGTGAATGAAGTCTTCTGTTCTCCGAATCTTTTGGTCAATTGTATGATCTCAAAGATGCAAGTTTGTCCACTGTAGAATAGCACTTGCAAAAGTCCCATTGTTCCCTTGTAGGACTTTCATCAAGGATACCCTTGTGAATCCATGTGAAGATAAATATCAAAACTCTAAATAGATGTGAAAGTTGGCAAATAGATCAATAATTATTAATGTCACCTTTTTTAGTATTTATACAGTCCAAGCTCCCCCCTCCCCAATACCTTTGGTATTTTTCCTTCCTTCAGATTCCTGGACACTCAATATCTCCGTACTGTCAAAATTGTGTTGCCTCCAGGACAGACCTTCCCAGTGTACTTGGTCTAATCTAGCTGCTTTTCTTTGTTCTATTTAGTGCCATTGCTTCTTATGAGGACAGAATGGATAGAGTGCTGGGCCTAGGAGTCAGGAAGACTCATCTTCTTGAGCTCAAATCTGGCCTCAGACACTTACTAGCTGTGTGACTCTGGGCAAGTCATTTAATGCTACCTGCCTCAGTTTCCTCACCTGTAGAATGAACTGGAGAAGGAAATGGCAAACCACACCAGTATCTTTGCTAAGAAAGCCCCACATGGGGTCACGAAGAGTTGGACACTGAAACTACTAAAAAGCAACAACAACTTCATATGTTATTAGTATATTTAGAACTGTGATCCAAGTATGGTGATGCTACCGTCCTTGAGGGTGAAAACTGTTTGTTATGAGAACCCTTACAGATCTTTTCCATCTTTCATATGCTTGTTGTCCTTTTTCCATGTTCATCCATAAATGCCTTACAGATCTTTTCCATCTTTCATATGCTTGTTGTCCTTTTTCCATGTTCATCCATAAATTCCCTTGAATGACTTTGCTTAGTTCAGTCTCTTACCAAGTATTTAAAAAGAAAAACTAATTTTACTCACTATGTATTCTCTCTGTTTTGCAAGGCAATAAGACACATTGCCTTCTCTGTAAAATGTTCATTGCCAAATCTCTTTGCTTAGCAAGAGGTATTTGCAGTTTAAGTGCTCTTGACACTTAAACTTATTGTCTTTGGTGTCAATGCCTTTTTTTTTCCACTGATATCCCTTTTCCCCACATTAATAACTTGCAGAACTTTGGTATTGTTTTAATCACACACCACAAATTCTCTTCTTTTTGTTCTTTCTTCTAGGTTTGCCTTAATTGTTATATTTGTTCTGACGAGTTGATGGGCTGCCTATTTACACCAACAGCTGAGTTAGGAGTCGCTCCCTCACCAGAAACAAATTGTTTCTTGTCTTTGATATAATCGTTGTCATTTTTTTGACTGCTATTTGGTGTTTGTCATGCCCAGTCTTCCTACGTTTTTCTTGAAGAAAGTATTCATGAGAGACAGGCAGGCATGACTTACTGTGGAATGTTTGCCTCCTTCATTCCTTATTCCTGATTCATATTTCCCATCATCCGTTTTGGCCATCCTCACCTATGTCCACCTTTGTATTGAAATCATGAGCATCAGCGTCTATAGGGACTGAGTTTGCATAGTCTTAGAGAGTTCTTTGAGAATTTCCCTACATCTGAACCCAATGTTGGTGCCTGTGCTGACATTATTTTCCTGGTGGTCCCTTTGCAAATTCTCATC